GTAAAAGTGCTGGTGTGCAAAACCATGCACGCATGTAGAAACACGCGATAGAATATGCATATGGGTCATTTGGGGTGGGGTTGGGGCGGGGTGGGGGTAAAAACGTTCATGTCAACTTGAACACACACAATGGTGTGCTTGAACGTTCATGCTAAAATTGAACACGCATGGATTGTATGGTGTGCATATGGGGGTGGGGTTGGAGTGGGGTGGGGTGGTGGAATAACGTTAATGCTAAAATTGAACACACATGGATTGTATGGTGTGCATATGGGGGTGGGGTTGGGGTGGGGTGGGGATAATGACGTTCATGTCAACTTGAAAAAAAGGCATGCTACGCTGTGGGCTCTTACACTTGCACACATACGTCATGCTACGCTGTGGGATCTTCTCTTGCACTTGCACACATGTGTCATGCTAAGCTGTGAGATCTTCTCTTGCACTTGCACACATACGTCACGCTACGCTGTGCTATCTTCTCTTGCACTTTGCACACATACGTAGTGCTACGCTTTGGGATCTTCTCTTGCACTTGCACGCCTACGTCATGCTACGCTGTGGGATCTTCTCTTGCACTTGCACACATGCGTCATGCTACGCTGTGGGATCTTCTCTTGCACTTGCACACGTACGTCATGCTACGCTGTGCTATCTTCTTCCGACCGGGATTGTTTCTTGCAGCGGCTTTGTGTCTGGTCTTCTCTAACTTCGATCTCAATCTTCTAATCTCCACGGCGGCCCTGGAACTGCAGCTTTCCAAGCGGTGTCCCACTTGGCCGCATCCGAGACATGTACGAGGCATTTGATCTTTAACTTTGTCAATGTTACATTCGTGCAAACAGTCAAAAGTCTGTTCAACATGAAATCTAAATTGTTAGTTTTGCGCTCTCTCAAAAAGCCTGTTCCAAGAGTTGAAATTATCGATGTTTCGGTCCATGATTCAGCTAAGATATCCTAGATGTCAAAAACGTTGGTAAAACCATGACAAAACAACATCCAAATGCCTGCGGAACATTCAACTCAACTAAACATCATCATTCCAAAACTAAGACGTGACAGAAACCACTGCGGGTTTCTATGTGCGTGCAGCCTAAAAGCGTCTGTGTGTAAAAGCGTCCGTGTGTAAAACCGTCTGTGTGTAAAAGCGTCCGTGTGTAAAAGCGTCCGTGTGTAAAAGCGTCTGCGTGTAAAAGCGTCCGTGTGTAAAAGCGTCCGTGTGTAAAAGCGTCTGCGTGTAAAAGCCTCTGTGTGGAAAAGCGTCTGTGTGTAGAAGCGTCTGTGTGCAAAAAGTGTTGGTGTGTAAAAGCGTCTCTGTGTGCAAAAGCGTTGGTGTGTAAAAGCGGCCGTGTGTAAAAGTGTTGGTGTGTAAAAGCGTCTGTGTGTAAAAGCGTGTGTGTGTAAAAGCGTCTGTGTGTAAAAGCATCTGTTTGTAAAAGTGTCTGTGTGTAAAGGAGTCTGTGTAAAAGCGTCTGTGTGTAAAAGCGTCTGCGTGTAAAAGCGTTTGTGTGTGAAAAGGATGTGAAGTAGCTGCGTGTAAAGGTGTCTGATGTAGAACTCTTTTTTCTATCCTTTTCATACATGTTTGAATTTTGTCTCGTAATATATTGTCTTGAGTCTTGCTACTATTCTTCTCGTCTGCGCATGTTACATCTTTAACATAGCGTCTTGTAATATATTGTCTTGATATTAACGTTGAAAGAAATTGCTCCTCCACGCTCTCGGGCCATCCGTCGTCTAGTTTTTGTGCCGCGAAGGTCGTATATTATAACCCCCACATTGCTGTTCATGGCAGTACCTACTGCAATTGCACTGGTGTTAAGGTTGCGAATAGTTGCCAGGGAGGCATAGGACAACTTACCAAGGAAGCACTACCGACAAAGCACTGGGAAATCTTAAGGTGTTTTTTCCTGGCTGCAGAGGGAGGGAGGTAAACTTTTCCAATTGCTTCTTCCCTCTCGCCCAGTACTCGTCTGTATTGCTCGGCTTGTCCATTCCGAAAGAACATGTTCAAGGCAAGCACGATCAAACTGTAATGCTATCTCCACCATATTATCTTAGCAAGACGCAAGCATGCTGAGGACAGAACAAGTCCGAGGAGTCCGCCTTTGCACACACACCACGAACCATACTTTTTCAGAAGGCTAGAAAATCAAAATGCTTCAAACTGTTTCCAAATGATGTAAAGTCTTTATCAAAACATGTTTTAAACATATTGAACCTGTTCAAAATCTCATCAACGTATGTTCCTTGAATGTCGGCTGCCTGTCTTAGCGTATTCTTCAAGCTCAGGGTCCGCCCCAAACCCATGGCATCGCTCCTGGGCGCACGCGCAGTGGCACGGAAGCGATGTGTCATTCCCGATGTGGTACCGACGTGTCTTTCCATGTGTTTCCCATGTTCCCATGTACCGTGTGCGCATTGCGCATTGTCTGCGTCGTTTCTTCTGGTCTTGTGGCGCAGCTGAGATCCACTGAGGATTCTGACGTTACTGAGCTGCTGCGGCTAAGGTTTCGGCCTTGGACATCCACCCAGTGAGTTGAAGCGACCACAAGGCTAGGCTGAACAAGAACCAAGATCAACCAACAAGAACCAACAAGGCTCTCAATATCTCTCATATGTACTGTGACCAACATGAAGGAACATGAAGCAACAACACACCATATTGCCATAGTTTGCCATATTTCCGGGTGCTATGCTCTTGATTCCGTGCCCAAGACGTCGAGTGGACATTCTCCTGAAGGGGCACTTTCTTTCAGTTGCGCAGGTGATTTTAGTTTGGAGGTCAGCGGGGTCAACGGTCAACATGGGTCGACGTACGAAGGACGTCGGCTGAAAACACTTTGTCCCGGACTGAAGAGAGAGACCGTTGTGGAACTGCATCGACTCAATCTTGGTACTTTGCCTTGGCGCACACTTGGTGTACTACCTCCGTGTGCACAGGGTGAACTCGCCGCTAAACCTTTTTTAACATCGGCTCCAATTGCCAAGGCTGCCCCGGCGGTTTCTAAGGACTGGGCCATGAGAGTTGTTCCCGGATCTCCTGTGGCCAAGAATGGCAAGGAACAATTCGAGCAAGTAACAAATCATAAAAATTGATGGCTACTCAAAAAACTCAATATAGATCGATCAATATAGGTCAATATTTAATAATATACCAATTCAGATCGATACAGCAAGACGAGTCAATGGTGAGTTTCATCAAAAGCGTCATCTCGGAAGTGAAAACACCAGAAAGCATCCTTCACGTCGCCGTCGATTTTGTCTTTCAAAGCACCTCACCCCAAAAGATGACAAGGAGAGTGGCCAACCCCTGGCAGGGCCAAACATGCAACCGGAACTGCTGTGCGCATTGTCCCACTGGCAACCATGTTGCAGCCAGGTTACATTTGTCGACACGGTCAGTCAAAACAGCAATATCATATTTCGTCCCACGATGCAAGATTTCCTGGCAGACAGAAAGCGGACAGTTGAGTCCAAAAGATAGGACGTGGGGGGGTGTTTGACCGGAGGAAGTTTAGAAGTCAAACTTCCGACAATATGGACAGATGAAAAAGCATAGGTGGGAAGAGTCAGAGAAGAGCAGAGAAGAAGCAAGAATATCAGAGAAGAGAAAGAGTCAGAAGAAAGAAGATGCAGGTGCGCGAAAAGGTAAAAGTCGCGAATCGCTATGTTTTTCCAATAACTTGTGGCTCAGGAGGGTCGAAAAGTAGGGTCGCTAAAGCGGCGGGTGCGGAGCCATCTGGCCAGAATTGCACTAGTTACACTAATTACACTAATTACACTCATTACCCTAATTACACTCATTACACTAGTTGCACTGTTACACTAATTACACTGGAAACTACTACTACTACTACTACTACTACTACTACTACTACTACTACTACTACTACTACTACGACCACCACCACCACCACCACCACAGCTACAACTACAAGTGCAACTACAATTACAATTACACTACACTACGCTAATTACACTGCAGTACACTATACCTACACTACATTACACAACACTACACTACACTAATCATATTGCATTACACTACAACTACGTACAACTACAATACATTATTCAACACTGCACTACACTAACTATATTACATTACACAACAACTACAAACACAACTGCAACTACAACTACACCTACAACTACCACTACATTACACTACACTACACTACTTACACTACATTACACTACAACTACAACTACACTACCTTACACTACGCTACACTAGACTACACTACACTACACCACACTACAGTACACAACACTACAGTACAATACACTAGGCTACGCGAATTACACCACAACCACAACTGCAACTACACCTACGCTACACTAGTTCTACACCACAACTACAACTCCATTGCACTACAACTACAACTACATCTACAACTACAACTGCGCTACACCACACTACATCCAGCAGTTGTGGTGAGGTGACCACTGCAACCACTGCAACCACTGCAACCACTGCAACCACTGCAACCACTGCAAAACATACAACTCCAACTAACCCTAACCACCTTTCGGTCCATCAGTAGATCCGCTCTGCCATCCGTGATTCACAACAACCAACCTCTCCGGCTTCGTAGTGAAGTGACATGGGCCCGTCGCTTCAAACTAGCCTAAACTGACACCAAAAAGAACTTTGAGGAGCATGTGTGTTTCGACTCAGAAGATGTTGTTTCAGTGTTTTCCTAGGTTTTGTGTTTTTTGTTTCAAAAGCCAACAGCCAAAAATACACTGTTTTTTTGGTTTTTCAAGCAAAGCTATTCCACAAAAAAAGTGAGAAGAACAACAAAAACTCCAGTTTTTGTTGGTTTTGGCTTTTAATCACATTGAAGTTTCCAAGCTGCAACAGCTCGCTTAGCAGCTTTTCCGGCGCAGGCGTAGCAGCATAAATGGCTTTAGGCCTGGTATTTCGCATGAAATGTAAAACGGCAGCGGCACATGGATTCAGGTGCAGGCAAGTGCATCATGCCAATCGTTCCAAGCTATGATTTGGATTCCTCAGTTGATATTTCTTTCTTGGTAGCTTGTGAACGATACACCGTCACCAGGATGCCAGCTAAAGTGCCTAAAAGTGCATGGGGATTTGGCAAAATGCCATATTCTGTACCTTCTTCCAAAATTCTCCAGTCTGACTTCCCGTCTGGATGGTCAATTCTGGCATACGTGGTTCTCAAAGGAAATTTCTTTGGATCCACACGGGCTCCTGGAGTTCTGAAAGACTTTGCATGGCGTGCCACATTGATTAGGACACCTTCACGTTGGTGCCATCCAGGGCTTGCACTAAGCTGAGCTAGGTATGGGTAAATAGGTGAGTTTTCACCCAAAGCACTACCTACCAGCAGACTCTCACAGCTTCCGGCAGCGAGCTTCTTCGGCTTCGTCTTCTGCTTCTGCTTGACAAACTCTTGGTTGAAGGTTACGCTCCATCGGCAGCTGCTAAGAATCTTATGCACATGCTCAGTGCTCATGTCTTTCGTCCCGCAATCCACGAAGAGGTTCTCCGTTGATGTCCACTTGAGCATGGTGTTGGGTTTGCTAAGGACTCCACGAATCCAGGCCACTGTGAACGCCAGGGATTTTTGAGATCCGTAGGAAGGTGTGTCTGAAGACCCTTTGTCGAAGACATCACGTGCATCGGTGACGACTGCCAACGGAATGCAGTCCATAACTTCTTCAGCACGTTTGTATTCAATTGGAAGGCCTTGCAACATCGCCCACCAGCCACGGCAGAAACATCCAACATCAAATGCTTCTTCCGTTCCCAGCAGCTCTACTGCGTATGTAGAGCGGCATACTCTAGGAAGTCTGTGGCTTCTTGCGTCCAACACTGAGAAGCTTCCTTCTCGTCCAGCCAAAAGGTCCTTGTCGGCTAGGAGGACGTAGTAGGCGCTTTGGCTAAACACCTTTTCCAACACAGTTCCTTCAGCTCCGCCAGCTTTGGTGACATTCCCCAAACTGGCATCTGTTACCACCATGATTCCCGCTCCCTTCAAATCCATCGGCTTGAAGGTCAGGGCAAAGTCAGGGTCCTGCTTGAAGCGCTTGACAAGCAGATTCGCCTTCATCAGGGTGCTGATCTTCGGCGGTTCACCTTGCAAGGTGCTGAGCTGAAAACCCAAATCAAATCGCAGTTGAGCAACCAGCCATTGTAGTGAACCAAGGATTGCGCGAAGTTGACGTCGTTCCATCTCCGTCAAGTCTGAGTCTGGGTTGGCTCGGCGAGGCACAGGAATGTTCACTGTCTTCAGGTTACTGTGGTACTCTTCCATGGTGATGGTGATGTGGCCGTCATCCCATTGGCGGATACGTTTGCCACAATAGGTGATGTCCTTCTCAGAGGTGCTTCCAAACCCCAATTCTCGTCCAAGCTCTTGAAGTTTGGCGACAGCACGGCGGTTTCCGCCCAAAAAGCAAATCATCCACATGTGAGATGAGGACGCCATCCAACCTCGTTCCACATGGTGACCACAGAACCCAACAGGCGTAGTCCAGTGTAGTTCTTTGCCATCCCTGCTGAATCAGGGACTTGTTCAACCTCAAATACCAACGTCTCGGCGCATCACTCAAACCAAACACTCCTTTGCGTATCCTGGCAAGTCCAGGAAAAGGCAAGCGAGGTTCATCAGAGGTTCTTCGGATGTTTTCCATGAACAGCTCTCTGGTCCCATCCATGTAGGCATCTCCTTTCATGAAGGCTGACTTGATGTCGGGTGAAAGCAAAGTCCAGGCAAGGTCAGCTCCAACAGCCATTACATTGAAACATGCCGTCAAGGTCAAAAGGAAATGTTGGGCCAGTCTTGAACATGTAGGAGCATCCTTTCGAAGTCCAAATGAAAAGATGTCCTTGAAACCAGGAACAACAATGCGCGCTCGTGCACGGAGAGGCAACTTGTTCTGCTCAGTGCGAAGGCCTTCGTGTTTGTCGGTAAACACGTATCTGGGGGTGAGAATCTTCCCCTGTTGGCCTTCTCTCTTCAGTCTCTCACGCACTCGTTGAGATTCTTCAGGAGATAGTTCTTCAACCGCATCATTCTCCTTCCAAACACTCCAGGCTTGTTCGGCCGCAATCTTGAACTCAGCCTTCTCAGCATCATTCATGGAGCGCCAGTGAAATTCTTTGCGATTGGCTTGAACTGCCATCACGTCATTTTCAACCAGATCATCATGCCCACAAGGCCAAGGAAGTCCAAGCCGTTGGTGAGCATGCCATTCCGTTCTTGAGGGTAAAGGCCATCTGCCATCCCAAGAACCATGATCTTTCACACGCACTTCAGTAGGGTTGAGTCTGTCTTCACAGGCAGCATTGTAGATGTGTTGCAGTGGATGTAGTGAAGGATCGCCCAAACTGGACAAAACATCTTCTCTCGTGGTCTGCAATGCTTCTGCCGCAGGCTCAGTAGATGAAGTTGCTGTGATCACTGGAGGTCCATCAGGTTGAGGATCAGGAGGCTCAGAGGATTCAGCCTTCAATCTTTCCAGTGATGTGTCTGCAGCTCGTTTGGTCCCTGCAGGCTCTGCCAAACGTTGACGTTGTGCCTGTTCCATGACGCCCTGCAACTGACTTGCAAAGCTTGAGGCTCGTTTTCGAAGTCCATCGCCGAGTCCACTCGAAAGTCCATCTGTGGTGGCTCGTTCAAACGTCGCCTCACTCAGTCTTCTGGAAGGCACAGTCGATACTGGTGCAGAGGCAGGCATCAAGGCACCAGCAAGTTCTTGAGGCGCTACCGGAGGCAAGTCATCGCCAATCGGCATTGCTTGTTCTGGAACTGCAGCTGCTGAAGATGAGGGCAAGAAGGCAGGAGTGCCAGGCATTGGCATCACAGCAGCTGGTTGTTGAACAGCAGTTCCATCGCCACCATCGGCCAAAGGAAGTCCACGGGCCGACAAGTCCAAGGTGGCAGCCTCAACAGCTTCTTCGATGGCCTCACGCCATGAATCTGCAGCTATCTGTTCCATCGTGCTGGCTGCACGAATGTGCTCCAGGGCGCATTTGGTCAATTGCCCCTTGTAGCTCAAGTATCCAGAGCTTCTGCCTTCAATGGCCAGGAGAAGTGCAGGGCCGTGCCAACGTTTCAGAGTGAGCTTCTTCTTGGACGGCGCTGTCTTGTTGTTGTACTTCAAAGGCCTGTAGAAGTAGCAGATTGTGCCAGGCTCTGGAAGCTGCTCAATGGTTGGGTTTCGGGATCGTGCTAGTTCTGCCTTCCGCAAACTTCGGCTGAAGTGAAGGCGGGTCATCCCGATTTTGGCAACTTCTCGCATGGCCAACTGTCTAGCCAGCGAAGGCTTGGAGTCAATGAGTCCATGCTCTGCAAGCCTTGTCTGTATGCCACCCAGCACGTCTCCAACCATTCTAGGCTGACGTCCAATGGCGGCCTGAAAAGGAGAGGCACCCAATTCATTGATGTCGCCATTGTAAGCTGATGTCGCCTCGGCAAGAGCTACCTGCATGTCCTCAAGTCCAAGGACGCTTTGAGAAGTAACGATGGCTGCTAAAAGTGCTTTTAACACTCCACCGCTTCTCTCTGCTATTCCATTTTGCCAGGGCGCCTGAACGGCAATGTGGTGCAAAAGAATGGATTGGCTTCCAGCATATTCCTCCATTTCCCAAGACACAAATTCTCTGCCTTGGTCCACGACCATCACTCTCGGAGGGCCAAATGTTGCAATCCATCTGGTAGAGAGGAAGCGCACCACAGACTTGGTTGATTTGTCTGGCAAAATCTCAGCCATTTGAAATCGTGTAGCGGCATCAGTTGCGTGGGCCACTACGTACTTCTTCTCGCTGGCGTCAAAAACTTCCAGCAAGTCCACATGGATCTGGTCACCCATGTCGCGAGGCACAGGAAGAGAAGCAGGACGACGTGCACGAGGTGGTTGTCGCTCTTGGCAAACTGAGCATTGAAGTTGTTTCGCCGCCTGAATTGCTTCTGCAGGTGCACCCGCTGTGGCTAGGGCTCGGGCTAACCTTTTGCCCGATCTGTGGCCAGTGTTCTGGTGAAGTCGAAGGATTGTTGCGCGCATGCCAGAAGAAACATGAATTGCAGTTCCTTTTGAATCCACTTCGTCCTCCACATCGCTGCCATCATCTTGAGGCATCACCAATCCACCGCCTTCAAAAGCCAATTCCTCCTCCTCAACATCCTCTCCAATTTCGGCAGCAAGAGCTTCACGAGGAGCAAACTCTCGTTCAAATTGCTTCTCAAGGCCCCTAACCATGGCGCGTGCCAAAGGCTTTGGGTAGATGCCCGCACGGGCTGTCACATGAGAGCCGCCCAGAACTGGCGCATGAGGGTGGTTGCGCATGCAAGTCACTCCATCCAATTCCGCAGCAACATCTGAACTTGAGCTCACCACTCTCGTTGGCTTCTTGTGCAACCAACCAGAAAGGCTTTTGAGGCCAAAACGGCATTGGTCAAAGATAGCGGCGTAGAGCTCATTCTCCTCAAGAAAACGCAACATCTCAGGTTCATTCCAAGCTTCACTGCCTCGAGGGTTTTCTAAGATGACATGACGACCTTCTCGGATTTGCAGTTCAGCTATTTCCAAAGCAAACTTCATGAGTTCACGACCAATCGCCCTTCTTTCTGCTTTTCTTTCAGGGTGAAGTCCATTCAAACGTTGAAGAGGGCTGAAACCATTGCAAGGAAATGCTAAAACCACGCAAAAAGGCTTTTCATCTCTGATCTTGTTGTAGGCTTTGAACCTGTCATTGGCATCCAAGAAGTTCCAACCAGTTTCCAAGGACATAGATTGCCCCACATTGTGTCCACGTTTTCTGGCCTCTTTCATGACGTTCTCAGCACTCGTGTAGACCTCTGTGACAAACGGCTTGACCTTCGACGAGCCTGCACAGGGCTCAGAACGGTTGACATTCTTTGTGGCCAGGTCATTCGCAGAAACCTTGACATTCGATGGGACTTTGGCATTCTTGGAAAACTGCTTATACTCAGAAACTTTGGCATTCTTTGAAGTTTTGGAATTCTTTTCAACTGCATTGGCGTCAGAAACCGCAAAGGACTCAAAATCAAAGACCATGGGTTGGATGAAGGTCTCTTCCGTCAATGCATTACAGAAATCATTCTCATAGTCAGCAACCAAAGTCTCACGGATCTTGGCTGGGCCCCAGGAGGTTTTCAAACGATCAGCTTCATGCTTCTGCCAGGCTTGTGCAATCATCTGAGCCTGGCCGCTCTTGATCTTCTGGTTCAAGCTGAAGGGATTGAAGTCAGGGAAGTTCATGGATCCACCACTGCTTCGATCTGCTCCTGTGTCAGATCCACCAGGTCGACGTCCCCGTATTGTGCTCTCAGGGCGTCCCCGTAGCAATCCTCCAGCATCACTTCTTGAACTTGCTTGTAATCCTCGGAAGTCATTGACTCCACTTCCAATTTCGCATCCACCTCCATGAGATCCACCACCGGCACTTGGTGCTGTTCCGGCAGCAAGGCTTTCATTGCTTCCAACTGTGCTGTCAAGCTTGCCACCTGATCTTGAAGAACTGACAGTGGGCGCACCTCTGAAGACATTGAGGAAGCGCTCGCATCTTTGGGATGGCTTTTCGGCTTGGCAGCTTTGGCTTTGGCTGATGACTTTGCAGCGGTCGGCTGCACAGGCTTCTCTTTGAGAATGGCCACCATTGGCTTCACCTTTTCTTTGATCACCTCGATGGTGTCCTTGTCTCCAAGAGTCACTTGGAGAAGGGCTGCAAGTCTCACCAGGTCCCCTCGTAGTGAAGGAAGTCCGCCCTTTGGTCCAGTCAAGGTCCGGGCCTCTGCCTCTCGCTTGTTGTCGCTGGCAAGCTGTTTGGCTGCGGCCACAGCTTCTGCTTGAACGGCCTTTCGGATCTTGTTGGCCATGCCTTTCATTGGAAGAGCTTGCAACATGCCCTCCACCGTCGGGTCCTCGCAGAACGCCAATTTGAGGCCAATGCGTCCTCTCAGGTGTATGCATTCTCCCAGATTGGCCATGGTGAACTGCTTCATTGCGACCGCCAACTTGAAGTGGCGCTTTGAGATCACCCCGGCTGAAACCTGCTTGCGCGCTTGCTCCAACCATTTGTCTGTTGATGACGTCGATGGGTATGGAAAGGGCAGAAAGCGCAAGAAAGGCCTTTGTAAAAGCCAGAGCAGGACGCCTCTTGCGGCCCACAGCATGCGCTCGTTCAGCTTGAGGAACATTCGGCGCCATCTGCCGGTCTGCACGCCGACCTTTGGCACTAGCATTTCTCACAGATGTCCTTGATGTCGTCCTGGTCGTAGAGGAAGGAGTCGGTTCACGGTGCTCAGAAGAAGAGCGCATTGAAGTTGCTTGAACCGAAGGACCAGAAACAGGGCTTGACATCACGGTGCAAACCAAATTTCCAACATGTACACTGTGTTCTGTGAGCAAATGGTCATGTTTTGCCACCCTCAATGAACGTTGACCCTTGAAACAATAGTTCAACCAATCTGGTGTCGACATCTGCAACTCAATGATGCCATCTTGTCCAATCCTACGCCAACGCTGAGAGCCCACACCTGGCCATGCAGCAGGAATCAAAGGCAGTAGGTAATGTCCTGCAGCCAGCTGTTTCAGTTGAATCTTCTCAGCCCCCAAACGTTCACAGCAAAGTTCACGGCGTGAAAAGGACAGATCAGCTCCAATACTTTCCAAAAAATCACGGCCAAGTAGAAGACCAAGTGATGGAACTGGCACCACCGAACACCAAAAGCAAAACAGCCTCCCTCCTATCACTGTTGGCAATCTCCATCGCATGTCCGACACCTTGGTGCCGCCATTTCCAAAACGAAAGGTTTCATGCTCAGGCTTTGAGGTCACTAGGCTCCTAATGCTTTCTGGTGCAGATTGAAGTCCATGAAGATACCCTTTCAACCAATCCGGTCCAGCACATGTTCTGTTGCATGCCGAATCCAAAGCTCCAACAAGACGTTTGTCTTCTGCCAGCTGTGCAATCAGCGCTTCTTTTGTCACGGAGTGGGCATCTTCAAGTGCAGCTACAAAGGACTGGGACAAAGGCTGTGCCGACACGGTGAGCACCTCATGGCTTTCACCTTCCGCTTCATCCACATGTTCTGTATTCAAAGTTTCAACCACTTTGACATGTCGGCTGCCGGGTTTCTTCAACGAAGACTTCCTTGCAAGGCCTTGTCCAGGTTTGCCACATTCCGGGTCTCCAGCCCAGTGTCCTGGAAGGCCGCAATCGAAACATGGGTTCTTGGCAGTCTTCTTTGGGTTGTTCTTCGAGGTACCATCGGCTGGTTTCAGGTAACCCCGATCACGTTTCACTTCCTGCAACTTCGTTCGTGCCTCCTTCATGGTGAGGAGTGCTTCAGCTGCGGTTTCAACTGATTCTTCTATCTCCTGCAAGGTCGAGGCATCGACGCCGTTGTCTGCAGCGTCATCCAACTCAGCCGCAAGTGCTTCGGCTTCACTTTTCAGCATATCCTCCAAGTTCGGCTCAGCCTCATTCTCATCCTCCAACAGCTCTGTTTCATCATCGGGTTCAGGGTCCTCTGCTTCAGAAACCATGGCCTGTCTGGCCGGGAAAGGCTTTCTAAATCCACTGAACCTGCTTGATCCAGAAGTCGTTGAAGTCCTGTGGGACCTCGGCACAGAGCTAGCCATCGAAGGTGCATAGGACGAAGGCTTGCTTGAAGGATTCTGTGAAGTCAAAAACCTCTGCATCAAGGAACCACCCTTGTTGTTGCTGTCTCCAAAGGACTTGCGCACCAACGGATCCTGAGAATGCAGATCTTTGAAAAGTCGAAGAACTTCACGTTCAATCGTCTCGTACTCCTCAGCGCCTGACAAGGCTGTTTCCAGGAGTTGCACTCGCAGCGGGTCAAGACCAAGCTTTGTCTTGAAAAACCATCCAACTTCACCGGAAGGCAAGGTCACTCCCTCCGTTCTGAGGTCTGCAAGAGAAACTCTAAACCTGGAGCAAAACTCAGCTATGCGTTCACCTGGTTTTCTCTTCAGCTCCAAATAAAACAAATTTCTCAGCTCTCCACGTTTATCAAGTGTTGTTTTGCCATTGATGCCCTCTAACGCCTTCAGCAACTTTGTCAAGCCACTCAGCGGGTCCTCAGGCGTAATGACAACTTCGTCACCTGTCTGTGGATCTTCACCTTTGACCTCCTTCTGGTACTCAAGCTCATCTGGATTGAACTCTTCACCTCTTTGGCGAACTACGCCGGACTGCCTCAACAACCAACGTGCAGCAAGGTTGTATTTCTTCGTTCCTTCTAAGTCCAGGCTGCTAGTCCACCATTTCATTTCTCTCTGGAAAGCTCGCCACGTCTGTGGCGATCCGTCCCAAACTGGAACGCGAGACCAGGCACCTCCAGATTGGTCCCTCTCTGCATCTCCCATGACTTGAATTGGCTCCCCTTCGGGAGATGAAACACAAAAATCAGCAAAAGGTTGAATTCAGTCTTCAACCGGCCACAGACTAAGGCGCTTGCCAGCTGTAGATGGTGAAGACAAAGGACCGCACCCTTGATCCCCAAGAACGTTGCCAGGTCACCGCTTGGATCACCGGCCAGGAACTTTAGGATCTAGAAATAGTCCACCGTGCAAAAGGTTCGGAGTAAGCGCAGCAGCAAGCAAAAGCGCAATGCCCCAAAACGTAAGGCTCCGGTGCCACTGACAAATCCAGCTGCAAAAGCTAGCGGCAGCAGCTGTTTCCGGTGCAGGCGTAGCAGCATATGGCTTTAGGCCTATGTCAGATTCATTGAAAGTAAAATGGCAGCGGCACATGGTTCCAGGTGCAAGGCAAACTGTCATGCCAATCGTTCCAAGCTAAATGCATGGTTCTTCAATATTAAATATGTGTGTGTGTGTGTACGGATGTCAATTATGTTTTCAAAATGTCATATACAATGAAAACAGGCATATTTCATGGCACATACATCAATTTCTACACGTTTTAAGCACTTGTTTCGTAACATCCCGTCGCCCGGAACGCTGTTCTCGGCCTCCGCGGCAAAGTTGCGCAAGGAACGCAGCAAGCTGGGCGGCTGCGCGGGTCTGGCGTGATGAACGCTTCAGTGGCTGTTTCAGGAACTTGGATTGGAGGTATACCATAGAATAAAGATCTATGTAAGGGCTAAATTTCAGGGGATATACCGTTGATATACCTCCAACTCCAAAATATGGCTGGCTAGATGTGGATATATGTGGTACAGTACCTCCAGCTTACCTGAAATGGCGATTGCTGGGTACCTTGGGGTAAACGTTTAGATGTGGAAAATCCACAGTGGAAACCTGTTGGGAAAATGATCAACATTCATGGTGGGTTTCTACATCTATGGAAACATTTACCCCGAGGTAAATGATGATATAAACTTGTAAAGCAATGGTTCCTGATTCCTGATATCTGAGTTTCTGTTGGATTCTCTGGGGTCGATCAAAGGTTGGGTTTAGAGGAAACACTCCAAAAATCTGAGGTTTGCACGGTTTAACGGTTAAAACTATGGATGGTAGGTGAATGGATTTATCTTTAGCTCTCAGTATGGAAATATATGGACAATTATGGACATATCAAAAAAACAAAAACTGGATAATGAGTTCGGAAATGATATTATACCTCAACTATTGGCTTGCCCGGTCAGGGCGGGCATCTGTTGCCTACAAACATGATGAATGGCGCGGCTACGAGTACTGGAATGATTAGTCATCATGTTCCCCCACTCAACAGCCAGAAATTGGGGGCATCCCTACCCTCTGGTAATTTAACATAACTATGGAAAATCACTATTCATAGTGAATTGTCCCATGAAAAATGTTGATTTTCCATAATTTTTTGGATGTTTACCAGAGGGTACTTTCAGACAAAACCATATCCATCATGAATTCCGTCAAAATCGATGTCTTTGGTGAAACCCAACTGTTGGCTGGTGTTACATTACATATTCCCTTTGTGTCCACACAAAACAATAAGTTTGTAGCTGAAGCCTAGCAAAAACATATTCTCAGTCAGGATAGATTGACGATTGAATATCATTATTGTTAGTTTTTCATATCCCATGCTTGGTACATCCCGTTGTTGGATTAGTCATTTCCAGATATATAATATAATATTTGTTAATATCCTTTTATTTCCAGTTTTGTTGGACTCGTCATATATGATATTATATCTCGTTATTTCCAGTTTTATCCCCATGAGGTCCCATTGTATCCCCACGAATTATTCCAATTATTGCTGCTTTTTACACTTCCAAAGTTGTTGGTTCCATTGCCATTTCCCACAATTTATTGGGATTTACCAATGATTTATAATGATGTTCCCGTGATTTATGGACATGTTCTCATGTTTCTTTACCATTTTCAACCATAATTTATCTATCGTGCTATTCCATTTTTTTTGTAGTGATTCAGAATGATTTTCCCATGATTTATAGTGACTTTAGCACCATTCATGGAGATTTTCCCATGATTTTACCATCGTTTTCACACGACATCCCATCCACCGTGGATCACACCTCTGCACCGGCAAGCCCACGGCACGCTGCGCTGCGCCGCTGGCGGCGGCGGCAGCTTCCTCTTGTGCCTCGGAATGGGGATGACTTTGAATGGAGGGCTATTACCATCTGGTTATTTAACATAGCCATGAAAAATCACCATTTTGAATAGGTAAATCATCTATAAATGGGCCATTTTCCATGGCTATGTTAAATAACCAGAGGGTAACTCCAATATTTACCCTCCAGTAAATTAACATAGACCATGATAGGGGTTGGAAGATTTGTTTCCATTAAAAATTGGCGATTCTCAGCGTCTATGTTAATTTACCAGAGAGTAATGATTGGATAATGTTTACAGCTTATAAGATTGGTAATTGCATTAGTTTAAAACATAGTTTTAACATCTATTGAATATAGTGTTACCTATAAACCAACTTATAATTAATGGGGTTTCACTATATAGTTGGTTTACTATAGTTAATGGAGTGCATAAACCAACTTATAACTGGGAGGCCCCACAGTTTCCTAAAACGGGGTATCCCCAAAACTTCCATAGGTTTCAATACGAAGTCATGGTCTAATGAGTCCAATGACATGACTTGGGGTACCCCAATGGACTGGAAACCACCCAACAGAAGCCAGGAATATCTGGTTGGTGGTATACCTACCCCTCTGACAAATATGAGTTCGTCAGTTGGGATGATTTTCCATTCCCAACTGAATGGAAAGTCATTTCCAAGCCATGTTCCAGTCACCACCAACCAGACATATTGAGTGTGAATATATTTATATATGTATGTGTTCTAGAGATAATCTATGTCATTTTCTATAGATGTGTAGTTTGGAAAATGGGCTTCCCCCAAGATCTTTGGATGTCCCATGGCTACCATGGATTTTCCATGGCTACCCAAAATGACCCGAGAGTCGCGACTCATCCCGGGTCCAACGGTCCAACGGTCCAACGGTCCAACCTTCTCGGCCCACCACAGCATCACATTCAGCGTGCGAACCAGGGCCTTGCTCCACGATGGTCCACCCAAAAAGAAAAGCTGGTTGGTGGTTAACATATGCTTATATGGTTAATATACTGTTAATAATGGTTAATATATGGTTACTATATGGTTAATATATGGCTACTATATGGTTAATGATGGTTTTTTTGATAACACCACCCCCTCAAAAAAGCAGAGTGTTTATACATAGGGCTAAGAAACATATGCTGGTAATTCTGGTACAGTACTTCACCCCTATTTTGATAGTAGTTGTAGGTATGTAATCAATAAACTCTGAAATTATCCCTGGTTGGTGGTGCAATAACCATCCTGAAAAATATAAGTTCGTCAATGGGAAGGATGACCTCCCATATCTGAAATGGATATTAAAACATGTTTGAAACCACCAACCAGAAAAAAGTGGAGTTGAGAAAAGTAGTAGATCAGTATCAAAGTAGTAGGGAGCAATTATATTTTGATGTGTTTTCCTCGAGGTGATACCTCTATACTATAGACGAAAGCCCCCAAGAAACTGCGGCATGGCCAGCAAGATGTTGAAAGCTGGTGAATGGCAGCCCGGTGCTTGGTCGCCCCAAATCCATTGGTTAGTGGCTATTTCAATGGCTGGGGATATAATTAGCCTATTTTCAAACAAACCCAACTGGAAATTCTGGAACACCATTGATTATAGAACTGTGCAGTTCCCAAGCGGCAAGAAGCAGAGAACCCAAAGCCAAACTCCCTGCGGCACGGACCGCTAAGGAGATCTTCTTTTGCGTCCACACCAAACGAACACATGGTTAAAAGGAAAACAATAAGATAAATAAACTATTGGAGGTTTAAGCCAGCATGGGAATGGGACAAATTGTCACCATGAAACATGGTGATTTCTGATCCATAAACATGGTGAAAATACCATGGAGATGTGAATCAAGAGCTACCAACAGGAATGGTGGGTCGCATCCAGGTTTAGGGCTGAAGTCGGCAATGATAAATGTTGTTACGCCATGTTACGCTTATCATGGCATAACTTTGCAAAAGGTATGTCCGAGAAAAGCATTGCACAACATTGGGATGTCATGAAAGAATCATATCGGTCAAGTCCGTGGGGCAATGCAACCTTCGGCAAAAAAGGCACGCGGCACCGTGATGCACCGTCTACTTCTGCCATGAAAATCTCATCAAAATGAGGGGTTGTGTAACTGGTGGGGTCACAAGTTCATGCCAGTTCATATCATCGTCAAAACATGTCAAACCTGAGCATTTCAGAGTTGGTTCAGGTGAGAAAAACAACCAAACTATAAGGTTTCACAAAGCCACAAAGCTGCAGAGTCCCCAAACATGGCCGATGGCCGCCTCTCCTTTGGCGGACTAAATATATAATTGTCGCTGTTTGTTGGTGAATATCTGTTCAGTTGGATGAATTTCCTCATTGAATAATTTTTTAAGCTGACATATCTCTAGATCTCCTAGATGTTTCTTCAGGTGTAAAAGGTTCACCCACTGAAATCCGACATGTTTGCTGGTTAGGGTCGAAGAATTTCTGCTCGAAACCTCAAGCATTTCTCCATCGAGATCCATCGAAGCGGCGCCTGCATGATATCTGAGGCCTACTTGGATCGCCACCAGTCCACCGTGGCCGGCATCTTTCGAACCTCTGCCAATGGGAGCCACAATGGGACCAGCCAAGGGGAACGGCGACGAAGCTTGGCCACAATGGGGGGTCTGCTCATCAAGACATATGTGGATTGCTAGAGACAGGTGGAATATGGAACAACTTTTGCCAATGACTTTGGATTCAGTTAAAGTTCAAATTGAATATCTGAATTCTGGATTCTAGATATGATATCACCATCAGCAATTTCCTGATATGGCCTACAAACCTACAGCAAGATAGCGAAGGAACAACAAAAGACTAAGAACTTAGACTAAGAACATGTTTCGCGGTCAAATTATCATAACCAACAACAGCTTGCCGGCTCATGTTCATTACCATTTCTGCATGCCAAGGCAAAGCGAGTCCCCGTGAAAAAACTTGGGTGTTGACCATATTTATTGGTCAATCGTTGTTGCTGAAAACGCTTGTTAGTTGCTAGATGTTGTTAGCATCACCAAGTTCTATCCTAAACATCCACTTCAGGTTTTGTTGTTTAAGGTTTAATCAAGTTTTTCATCTTGTCATAACCATGTATATATAACAATCCCCCATGGTTAGATAACATCTCCGCACCGCTCCGCACCTCGGCCATACCAGTGGCAGGCGGCATAAGCCACTGCAAAGGTGGATAAACCTGACAGAGCTGGAGCTCTTGGAATTTGTAAACCCCAAAGGTTGGATAAAAGCCATGAGTTAGCCATAAGTTCAAGTAGCTATGAACATTACCAGAGGACAAGGAAAGTCTATGTTTCATGTTTCTGGTAATTTGGTAAGATTACTATAAATTAGCAATAAATGACCTATTATTCCCTTCCGTAGGGTAAGTTTTACGTTAAATTTGGTTGCTAATAGTCAGATGGCAACAAACTAGTAATAGGACCCAATAGGTAATCTAATTACCCTATGGTTGCGAACTGGAACATCACCATCTGTAGATATCTGTAGTCGTTAAACTACTCATTATATATCATATCACGTTATTTACCATCTGGTTATTTAACATAGCCATGGAAATCCCTTATAAATGGAGGTTTATAGGAGGTTTATAGCTGGGAACATCATCTATAAATGGGCCATCTATACCATGGCTATGTTAGTCATAACCAGATGGTAATTGTCCTTTTTAGTTTGATACTTAGTTAACGTACACGTTTCAGTGTAGTAGTTTGATGGTCCAGTGAGTTTGATGATTTGCCATGGCGAATCTTGGATAGCCTCTTTTAAAAGGTTTTCATAAAGCTGGTTTGTAGGCTATTCCCATTTATGTAAATATGTATATATATATATACATACATATCCATACCCATATGCTCCATGGTGCTGGAATATGTACCAAGATTTTGTCCAAAAATCATCCAGTTTGTAGGTTTTTATATACCAGCACCATGGTTCGCATATGGGATATATTACATGGAGCACCGAAAATCTTGGGGCCATAGGAAAACAGGCGCCCCCGAACCATCCAAGGTGCTCGGCCCCCTAGTTGTAAGTTGGTTACCAATCCCATGAAGAATAGATATACCTAGCAGAAGCTGAATTCACCTAGCTAGTTATAAAGCCATCAACTTAGCTATTGTTTTGGGGCACCACCTTGTGTTGAACATGGATGAACATGTGGATATAAAATGATATACATATATACCTGGCCAAAAAAAGGACCATGAACACTGGGGGTGAAGAAACAACCAAACATGGGGATATCAATACTGAAAGTATGCTTGGCTGTGTGTGTGTTTTTACTTTCTACGTTGGACATGAAGATGTCATGGACATAACCCTGCTAGCACCAAGAAGGACTTAAGAACCGAAAACCGAGATGTAATCCACACATGATGGTTGGCTCATGGTTCTACGTTTAGAATTTGGAGACCAACAATGGATTGTAAACAACAAACATAGCAGTATCCCAAATTCCCATCGAAAGTCTTGAACTTCAATCAGAGAACATGAGGCTATAAGCCAAGCATCACAGCGATATGACCGACAGAAAAATGGATTTCAGCCAGTCATCAGGATCAAAGGAAGAGCAATTAGAGATGATTCGACACACTGCGGCTTGACTTTTGGGATTCGAAATCTTCGCAGATGTTGTTGGGACCATTAAATACCCATCATATTGACTTCCAAACATAAATAGATCCAGAAGCAAACCAGGGATTCTTTTGGACAGTACTTCATATCAGTGGGAAGGAATTACAAGGTGGTGCCCCATAGTTAGCTAAGTTGGTGCAAATAACTCCAATCAATAACTATGGTTTATGGTAGTTATATATATATACTATTCCTATGGTTTATAAACCAACGTTCACATCACTGGGGGGTACCACCTTGTATGAACTGTCTTTCCTTTTGCGGAACTCAGGGAGGTCAAGATTTCCGGGCGGAGCTCTGGACTCTGGCTATAAAAAATGTGTGGAGACCACCAGCTTTCAGAGGGTTTCAGCCATTGATTGACCCTCAGGGCGCCCAAATTCGCAAAATCAGCCGGTTCCATTTTTGGTTCATGATTTCCAGTAGACTTTGCTTTGCCCATCAAACTCAAATTCAAACATGTTCAAACAATCAAATGTCACCAAATTATGTGGCGAAATGATGTATACTGTATAATTCTATAACAGTTTTCAAGCCGGTATTCTATAACTCTATGATATTCCATAATGATGTAATGATGTATAACTGCAAAACTTACTCTGGTAGATTTTAAACCCTACCGGTTGGAGTAAGTATGGTATAGTATAAATATGGTATACTACCGGCTGATACTACTATTTATACCATATGTATACCATATGGTTCTATAATGTTCTATACTACCCGTTGATAATTAAAGAAATAACATTCTACAAGAGGTTTGAAGCCCTGACAATTCCTTAATCAATGGATTGGTTTAAGGGAAAATCTACAGGAAACCATAGATTTTCCCATTAAATCTGGGGCTTTCCTGTAGATTTTCCCTTACACCAATCCATTGACTTAAAGGTTTCTCCTCGTCTAAACTCCGTTTTTTCACGTGCATACCATAGGTCCAAGCCAGCCGACCTGTGACGAAGGCGTTGCCCCAAAGAAAGCACAGCAACATCCTCAGACATGGCCGAGAGGCCCTGTTGTTTGTAATATAATATAAATAAATATGGATCTTATTATATGGATCTTATTGTAGTAAAATGTCATAAACATATATATATATATACACATAAATATCTGTTTTAACATGTCTTGCAATCCAGATTTAAAAAAACCTGCTGGAGACTATGCAGTTCCATCAAAAAACGGATTGATTAACTTAAAACAGTACATCTGGGATTCACCTGAAAAAACACAGCCTTGGTTGAAGCAGTTTTTTTTGATATGATATGCGACTCAATGGCCGTATCATGAGAAGAAACGGGAATCTGGAGACGTTGAAAACGCCAAACATGCGGATTTCAATGAATTTCAACATGGAATTTGTGGAGGTTGAAACAACAAACATCTGGGTAAATTAGTAAATTATCATATTTCACTAACCTGAATGAAGGCCCACTCTCTTCCCAAAGAAGCCTGTCCCCGGCAGAAGCAAAGGACAGGCTGGAGTCCGCACGCTGCTCTATCCTTTAGATAGGGAAACCCTAAAGTGTCAAAAAAATCTTGCTTTGCAAGTAGTGTGAACCCTCATCTTCTCAACTTCATTGCCCTGCGTCCATACTTCAGTTTGTCGCACTTTTGTGTCCAATCTTCGTCCACCATCGGTTGCTCTCTCGGCTGGGGCCAGTGAGCATGAAAAGAAACGTTGTAGTTGCTCATCCCCTTAATAGTGTCAAGAAGAAAGTGAATAGTTTCATCCTGTTTATAAAATGCTGGTCGCGGTGAGACTCCACTCGTCTGTTGCAAGAAACCTAGTGTATACAGGCTGGTATGTAAACCTCGCTTATGTGTAGGGCATGCTGTGCTTGGGAGCCACAACATGCATTGGTTCCACATCTTTGCCATCGTGGTGGCCTGGTCAAGCATGGTTACATGGTGTGCTTCAACATCCTGTGAATCGCAAACATGCAAGAGTCTGTTCTTACCGTCTCCATTGGTTCGGATCACTGGAAGTGCCCGATGTGCAAACATGCTAAATGATACTGCAAGTTCCAGCCATGACACTCCGATTTCTTTTTCGAAAGGGCCTTGTGGTTCTGTAGGCCACTCAAGTGTAGTCATCCAGTGTAGCATAAGGTCTGCCAGTTCTTCCCCCCATGAAAAATGTTTAAACCATTCATGCTCTGTCGGCCAAACCAGTTGCTGTGTTTCTGCAGGGCGTCAGAAGCACAGGGATTGCACAACAAAATGCACATTCTCTTTTCCTTCATCTGGAATGATCATGGATTCCTGCCTGGACATCTGTTGTACCATTTCACTACGCGCTTGAAAAAGTTGTACATGAAGGCACATGACTGAATGCAGCACGGTTTTGGTCAACTCCATCTGCTCATGTTGTTTCTCCAATTCCTGCTGCCAAGGTTTATTCAAGTCCATGCATGTATGTTTGGCAGCTGTGTCCACCATGGAATTTCCAAGCGCATGGTATAGCTCCAACATGTCTGTCAAGGCATGTAAATCCCTGTGCGCCTTGATCTTTTTTACACGACTGGGGTCAAGGCCTAATGCATGCAAGTCATGGAGAACATCTCTGTTAGACATGGAAGGGTGTGGCGGTTTATAACGCACCTGTGTCACCTTATTGACCGCATACAAACTATCAGAGTGAATGGTACCATATTCAATGGCAGCTGCAGTGGTCATGGCACAAAGTTCTGCTCTGTTGATGGATTGTTCACCTTTGACTCTGCCGGAAAAACAAACCTGCAGCGTGTCTGGAAAAATCCCTTGCAGCAAAAAATTGGAGGCCAAATGTCGTCTCTGGTCATCTGTGGTTGCGACATCTATGACTCCTGCAAACGCACTATATCTAGTCGTAGGTGAAGATGGATGGCTGCAACTCCCATCAATGTATATGTTGAATGGTTGATTGGCATTTGATCGCTGAATGGCAAACGTATGAATGTTATGAGACACAAGAACTTCAGGTTGTTGAAAGTGCATGATATGATGGAAATGGGTATCAGGCAAGTAATGCACGACTGCATGTTCATCAAAGCACATGCCTTCATCCTGCATTTGTTTAAGGACTAGTTGAAATGGTACTCTAGTATCTGCAAATGTAGGGCAATCCATCAGGCGATGGGTCCTACTGTCGGTTTCACCACAGAATGGACAAGCTCCGGAAGAGTTATCCGTCCAATGCAGCTTCTGAGATTCCAATTGGTATGCACCGGCAAGTTCACGTAGCAGTTGGCGTCTTTCATTATCTGAAAACTTTTTCAAAACTGTCACGGTATCTTGCCTGGATATGTCAGGTAAATGAAAAAGAGAATGACGCGCTGTGTGTGTCAAGATGAGCTGTTTTTGCCACGCCTGTATGAGAAAGTGCCGAAAACTCTGAAAGCTGTCATGCAAAAAGTGCAGTTTAATAAAATCATCAACATGCACAAAACCTTCAGCATCAATCTGCCATGCAAATTTGTTCAGGTAGTGCCGGAGTGTGGACGCCGGCCCCTTGGTCTGTTTACTGAGTCCTTGGAACTGTGCAGCTGTCCGGAAGAAATCTTTCTGTACAGTTTCATTTTGCACTGCAAGCCATTGCATTGCCGTCCGAATGGCTTGGAGGACGACATAGTACCCTGGGTCCAGGATGGTGTTGGCAGTAAGTAGCAACGGTATTGCTGGTGACATGCTCTGGGATTTGCCTATCAGTGCCTCTGCCGCACCCGATCTAAGTTTGTTAAGCATGTCATCTGAAACGGGAAAAAGTTCGGCCCCATAAAAAATGGCTGGATAAATTCCCGATTGCAAAACATGTTCTTTAGTACTTAGGTCAACATGTAAGAGCGAAAGTTTTTGAATACGGCACAAACCATCTTCATAACGTTTCTTCCTGATGCCCAAGTGGCGTGTACCAGAGTAATGCATTTGAAAACCCAAGTCTCTTGCATTGTGTTGTCTTTGCAGTTCCTGTATGGGTATGCTGTCACGCATGGACTGCAGGACATCATTTGCCAGTTTAGTATTTGTGGCAAACAACCACGTTTTGTGCCAGTCAATGGTCAATCCACAAATCTGAGTCACCTCATTAGTGATCTTGGCCGCTGGTTCATGATCAGCAAATTCGGTAGAATGCCAAGACCAGTTGTCAGCATAGGCGGATGCTTTGAAGGAAGGACTGGTTGATGCCTGGATGTTGGAGCTCCACAAAAATGCAATGCAAATCATGGCAAGGACGCTATGGGAGTCCCCTTCTGGTAACCCGCAAGTAGCTGGAACAGGACCAAACGATTGGCCGGAAACCTCCCAAAATCTGGTCATCGTTTGAATGCTCTTATGCCAACAGTTAACATAAGTGGCTGGTAACCCAATGGCAAGCAAAAGGCGCCGCCCACATTCATGTCTGATGTTGTTGAAACACTTGATCAAGTCCAAGGTGATGCCAGCTAACTGGTGGTGATTGAAATGTGCCAATTCAAGGTAAGTTTGCAAGGAATAGGCAGCATTGTATCCACTTCTGGAAGGAATCATACCTGTGATATCTGATGGCAACCACGTGGCCCAGTGGCTGAGTACCTGAGAGCACCACACCGCGCTGTAAAGACGATAGATCTGGCTGAGGATACAAATCGGTCTACTTTGGGATGGTAATGGCACTTCATCAACTTTGTTCAAGGGGCAAACCCGTGATCGCATCATCCACGCTGGGAAGCCCTCAGGATAGTTATTACAAACATCGATGAGTTGTTGGATTAATGGGTCAGGCAACAACTTGATTTCTTGTGCAGAGATGGCGTCAAACCCTCTGGCTGATTTTGCTTTCAATTTGCGAATTGCCTTTTTCCAAGCTGTCAAACTGTCATCAATGTGGTATGGTCGTGGTGGCAGCGGCATGCGGTTCATCAGGGTTTGAAACTCTTCCCAAGTGTCTTCTGGTCCAATGTGGTGATTCTGTTGCCACAGAGGCGCCCAGAAGTGAGTAAGTTGATCTGCAACCTGTTTGGGATCCACAATGTAGTTAGCCTGGCTAACCTCGGCTGATTCTGGTTGTGTACCCGGCAGGGTATGCATTTGGAGTACAATTGCATCTTCTTGCAGGCCTACAATCCAACCAGTGGAGTCCTGTATTTTTACTGGCGCCATGGTGTTAAAAAGGTCTGGATTATGGGTATGGCATGTGACTTGGTTGTCAGTGGGATTCCATGTGAGATTACATGTTTCTTTGTGTGGCATGTATACCTCCGTGATAGGCAACGGAGGAGCTGATTTAACTGCCATGAAAGTTTGGGAGGATCCTCGAAACTTTTTGTCACACATCTGGACGAATTGAGATTTTTTGTCATAGCTCTTCTTGTCTGCTGCAATGGCACTGGTGACATGATGTTGAACAACCTGCATTGCCACATGTAACCACCGGCTGGTGGGTAATGGCCAGGGTGGCATGCCGATTTCTGGTACTCCTGCCATCCAGTGATGAAATGGTTGACCAAAACAACATGATTTAAGGATGGCAATCCATTCCAGTTTCATCTCATCCACATATCTCTGTGTGGTTTGTTCGGAGTTTTCACTCTTTTGCAAGCGCCTGTAGAGATTCTGAATGCGCCTCAACTGGGTGACTTTACGTTTCGTTGGCATGGTAGTGACCTCATACATAGGGTCAAAGTCGCCATGGCGTGGTGTTTTCACTGCACTGTGAATGGGTGACCGGACAGGTTTTCGTGGTTGACAACGTCCTCTGTAGGCCCTGGTGAGGTGTGTTGGACCGTGTCCTGTGACCGCATGGATGTCTTGGACACTTCTGTCAATGACCTGTTCCAAGTTCTGACCCCAGGCTTCAAATGTGGTGGGTAATTCCATGGAGGGGCTTTCAACAGCATAAGCTTTTTCAATGTCATCTCTGTCCACCCCCAGGGAGACCCACGACAACGGCAGCTTGAGGTGAGTCCTGAACATTGTTGGCTGTGGCAATTGCAAACTGAAAAGCACTGGTGAATGAGTAGCAAACCATTCTTGCGACAAAACCCTGATGTGTCCCACATGTGGAATTAGTTGATGGGATATAATCGCATTATCTGGCCTGGTTACTCCTTGGCAAGTGTTTGGCATAGGCACGGCATATTTATGCTCATGCAAGGCAATCAAGTCGGTACATCCAAGTTGTTGGAATTTAGACCACACAGGAATGTCATGCAATTCCATGTTGAAGTCACCGCAAATTATGAAACGAAGGGGTAATGTCATGGCTTGTGTCAAGGTCATTGTGAGTAGGGAATTGAGGAAATCTTTTGCATTGGGATGTGATTGAGGTATACTATACAGTGTAAAAACCTGCAAATGCGTTTGTCCCCAACTTGCGATTGTATGGACAAATCTTGTGGTCGACTGCCACTCCGCAGGGAGTGGATTTTTGCATTTACGCATGGGTATGTTGGCAAATGTCGCAGTCCCCCCGGCTTTGCCACGGACGCTGGCATTGCCATTCAGGCAAATTCTTTGGGGGGGGACTGGATTAGACCAAAAACATTTGTAGTGCATGGTGGCAAGTTCTTTTTGGCAGGTTTGCTGTACTTCTTTGGTGGCTGCGGTCTCTGACAGACAAAGGATCTGTACATTTTCACTACGCAAGAGTTTATCAAACGTCTGCTTTTTCTGTGACACACTAGTAGGGTTGGCAAGAACTACGTTGAGTAGGCAAGGTCTCTCTTTCCGGTGCTGTGGTCCTGGGTTGGTGGCTTCACCAATGCGCTGGGCACATCCTAGCAACGGTGATGTTTGATGCATGGCATGACTGCTGAGAAGGTCACAATCTGTATTGGTCTTGGCCGTGTATACATCGCTGGCTGCATTCATGGCACAAAACATGGTCATGTGACAAATCCCTACATGTCCTACCCCGGTGGGTTTCGATGTGAAAAAACCTAATGTCAGTGCACACACGGCGCTCTGAGCACTTGGCACAAATTGGCATGTATTGTCGGCAATCAATTGTGTCTGGCCCAAAAATTGGGCAATGACTGTCGAAGGCTTGGAAAGGCTTGCATTAATTAAGGCATAGCGATCTTGTCACTCTTTCATATCTGCATCTCCTTCAGCTGGCGTTTTCCTTTTGGGCTGAAGGAGCGCTTGCTTCAGTGAGTTCATGTTGGCCTCAAACTGCTTGGATTGTAGAGCCAATGCTTCACCAAAGCTCTTGGACAAATCGGCTTTCACATGTTCCATGGTATTGTGGAGGGAGTGAGCAATCTTTTGTTCGGTGTTGACCAGGTCGGTCTGCAATTGCTGGATATTGCCTGTTTGTTGTGTCTGTGTTTGTTGAATGGCCTCCAACTTCTGCTCAAGTTCCTGGACTTTTGCTTCTTGTTGGGCAAATCTTTGTTCCACAGGTCCCTGTGCTGGTGCTGATGCAGCTGCTTGACCCCCATTGCGCTGGAGGTAGTTCCACCAAGGATCTTGGGCAGGGTTGGCAGTGAGTGTGGCATTTGTCGCTTGTGGCACATTTCTTTGGGAACTTCTTGGTCCTGCTAGGATTGGTTGGGATTGCGCTGATTGTCTCTGAGGCATAAAACGTGGCAAAACAGGGTGGCCATTGAACGCCAAAGTACCAGCCGGTGGTACATCCCCTGTGCATACTAGCCATGATTTCGGACCAGTGGCTCTCAAAGGGCGAATTGCCCATTTGACATGTTGACTCCACTCCGTCAACATGGCTGCATTGCATCCATATGGCAAAGGCTCGAGCTTGTAAATCCATTTATTGGAAATGTCTGCCGGGGCTTGTTCTGTGGGATATACTACCTTCCAGGCGGCTTCAAACATGCTGGATGTGACACGGATGCCCAGGGATGACTTGCCTCTGACAAGTCCCGCAGCTCCTCCAATTTTGGCTGTGAATGCGGCTGCTTTCTGTGCATCCACATGTGCTGCAAGCCACAAAACTCGATATTCATCTGTCAATCTGCCATCCTCTGCCTTTGGAGCTGCCCAGACTGGGATGATTTGCCCAGAAACATGGGCATGATTTGACCTGAATGAAGGCCATGAGTGGGGATGATTTCCCTAAAACAAACCATGATTCCAGTTATAATTTGCCCAGAAACATGGGCATTTCTGGCCATCAAATCATTTGGTGCCCTGAAAATCCTGGAAATGCGGAAGCAACAACCCCCCGGCTTCGTAAAAAAACCTTGGTGCTAGTACAGATCCCCACTGACACGCCAAACAAATGCACGTCTACCTTGGCTGAAATTCGCCTGGAAAACTCAAGACATGCACTAGGGTAATCAAATGTACTATCCACGCATGGGTTTTATTTCCTATTGTGATTTTCCCATCAATAATATAGAGTTCCTACCATACCACAGTTGACTTCCAAAGGGTTGTTGCTTCGTATTATTTCTGGGTGTAGTCCCCACTAAATATCTCAAGATTAAATCCTGAGTTTTTGCTGCTTCGATCTTCATGGTTGTTCATATGAACTTCTAGGACTCTTATCATACCAAATCTCTGTTTTCCGTTCGCTGAATCCGCATTTTGTTGGTGAAAAATCCACTTCTCTCGCGGTTGGCATCCTCCCACCCCGCCCAACAAAAGCACTCCGAGGGACGCCGAAGCGGTCCCAAACTGCGACTGCCAGTCCAAATCCTCGATGTCTTGAAAGCTGCTACCTGGTTGCTGGAGTTTCACTGTGGCTTGAGGGATACTGTGTTTTGCATTTAATTACAGTATAATGTAGATTTATTTAGATTTACCCTCTGGTAAAGTAACATAACTATGGAAAATCATCCTTTTTCATGCCCAAATCCACTATTTCTATGTCCATGTTCCAGTTCGCTATGTTAACCAGAGGGTAGATTTAGACCGTTTTCTTTTGTTCCTTGTACCCCAAGTTTCTTGACGTCGACTTTGAAGGATCTGACCCAACTGGATTGAGCACCTGACAAAAATGCCCAAGATAAGTGGGACCGTCATTTTGAATCCAGATATCAACGGTTGGGAACTTAAGCCAAAAAGCCCATTTAAACTTCCTGGTTGGTGGTTGAACTACCCCTCTGAAAAATATGAGTTTGTCAGTTGGGGTTACTATTCCCAATATATGGAAAAAATGTTCCAAACCACCAACCAGCTTCACATAGTTGTCTTGGACTAGAGGCTCAAGTTGTAACCCTGGCAACCCCTCAGCCAGTAGGACTAAAATCACCTGGAGATGTGTCAAACCTCTTGGAGGATCATACGATGAGTCACCTGGCATTTCCCATGAATCATTGGGTCACAAAATGTTAGAAGCTAAGCCCATTTGATAGCCAGTTGCTAAGTGGGGTGATCCTCAAAGCTACAGTTTCTTGCTTCCAATACTAGATTTCTGGGATGGATATATATATATATACTGTAATAGCTAAGACTTCAACGGACCAGAAAGTTGTTTCAGGTGTAAAACAAGTCTTGCCCTATCAATGAAAACATGTCTTATTGAGTTCAGCAAAATTCATTGACAAAGCCTGAGAGCCTGTGAAATCATGCTCTCAAGTGTTTCCTGCTGCTGAGCACTTTCTATCTGACGCAGGAAACCATCCAGTTTCTCTTTCAGGTCTGACCGAGACATTGTCTGAGCCAAAGATCCAAAGCTTTCCCGTTCTTCTGAGCATTAGCCGCAACTTCGCAGCAAAGTCTTTGCAGCCATGTTCAACGTCTAAGTCTCCAGAACTTCGCCAGCGCACTGGAAACCAACACTGCTTCATACTTCATTTGCTCATTTGCTGGGTACCCTCTGGTAAATTAACAGTTCGACCCTAAAAATAACCAATGTTTAGTGGAAACTAACTCATCTTCCAACCCCTTTTTTGCCCTATCTACCAGGGTCAACAAGTGAATTTACTGGAGGCTATTTGCCACCACGGAACAGCCATTTCAATGGGGAAAATTATGGGATCCAACTGCACCAGGATGGGATCCAAGCGGGTTTCTCTGATCAGATTCCCCATGAAAATTGCCAATATCTTGGGGATAGTATACCGAAAAAACTACAAAAAGTTTCAGTCAAAACCGAGCCTTCATATTGCTGATATATTCCATTATATCAGCTGTATCTCCCCATTACATCTCCTGTATTGTTGGCTATTCATCATGCTTAAACACACCCAAGGAACACGTTGTTGCTTCTATATCCCATTAAATTACATGAACTTACATGAAATTACATTAGGACACATGAATTTACATGAAATTACAATAAGTTACATTAAATTACCTTAAATTACATTAAGTTACGTGAACTTACATGAAATTACATTAAGTTACATGAACTTACATGAAATTACATTAAATTACATGAACTTACATGAACTTACATGAAATTACATAAAGATACATTAATTTACATGAAATTACAATAAGTTACATTAAATTACCTTAAATTACATTAAGTTACGTGAACTTACATGAAATTACATTAAGTTACATGAACTTACATGAAATTACATTAAATTACATGAACTTACATGAACTTACATGAAATTACATAAAGATACATGAATTTACATGACATTACAATAAGTTACATTAAATTACCTTAAATTACATTAAGTTACGTGAACTTACATGAAATTACATAAAGATACATGAATTTACATGAAATTACATAAAGATACATGAATTTACATGAAATTACAATAAGTTGCATTAAATTACCTTAAATTACATTAAGTTGCGTGAACTGACATGAAATTACATTAAGTTACATGAACTTACATGAAATTACATTAAATTACATGAACTTACATGAACTTACATGAAATTACATAAAGATACATGAATTTACATGAAATTACAATAAGTTACATTAAATTACCTTAAATTACATTAAGTTACGTGAACTTACATGAAATTACATAAAGATACATGAATTTACATGAAATTACATAAAGATACATGAATTTACACGAAATTACAATAAGTTACATTAAATTACCTTAAATTACATTAAGTTACGTGAACTTACATGAAATTACATTAAGTTACATGAACTTACATGAAATTACATGAAATTACATGAATTTACATGAAATTACATTAAGTTACGTGAACTTACATGAAATTACATAAAGATACATGAATTTACATGAAATTACATAAAGATACATGAATTTACATGAAATTACAATAAGTTACATTAAATTACCTTAAATTACATTAAGTTACGTGAACTTACCTGAAATTACATTAAGTTACATGAACTTACATGAACTTACATGAAATTACATGAATTTACATGAAATTACATAAAGTTACATTACATGAAATCCCAATGATTCCAACATTTATCACACACCTAAATTAGCCATGGTCCAATTCCAGTAAAAACGCGGCGAGTGGCGCATGCCCAGCACAGCTAAGCCCCACCTCGATACGAAAAAACTGGACAGTGAGCTGCCAAAGAAAAAACGGGGTCATGGGGGAATACACCTATAATAATTGTGTAATGATTATGATTATGATTATTACATGGGTACTATGGGTAATCACATTGTAATGTATAGTAATACGCAGGTAATGATACTATAGTATACTATAGTAATGATTATGATTATACCAATCAGAATATGAGTATACCAATAATAATATGATAGTAATTTGATTTGATGGGATATCACTATTGCTTAATTTAGTAATGGGTTGGTAATGGGCTAGTAATGGTATATAGTATTTGGTGTCATCAACCATGAGAATTCCCCTTTTTGCCCACAAGCATAGAACAAAACAAGTCAACGCAACAAAAATAGTTATGTGGACCCCTACAGTCATAAGTGGTGGTAAGTAGGATTTGTAGAATGCTGTGCACATCATGGTGCCTGGTTGTGGTTCACCCTAGCTTTTGTAATGAAGTCGAGATTTCTGTTCAACAAATGGGTATGCCCCAAGATTGGACATTTACCACCATATAGAACAGCCATAAAAAAGGGGACACTTATGATGACGCATTTGATTGTGGGTTCTATTTCAAGACAAGCCCATATCTCAAACGTCACAAAACTATTTTTTTGGGGGGATGGTTTCGCAAGTTGAGAATGACAGGCTCTTCCCGGTTTAAAATCCAAGTCTTGATCAAGTCAGCACTTGGAACATTGTGGAACAACGGATGTTTCCTTTGCCGGAGACATGTTCTTTTTTAAAAGAACATACAAATATTACCTTATATGATGATATCATATCAATTCATCTTGACTTATATCATATCATATCATTTCATTTCATATGAAGCCATATCATATTATCATATCATATCATAACATGTCATATCATATCTATTTGTTCCACACTTGCACCCCTACTGCAGGCTAGTAGCTATATAATGGTACTGTGTTCCTTCCCTGTACATTGTCATTGAGTATTCAGAAACATATATAGTTGCAACAAAGAGTACCACTTTGCTTAGTTATCAACGAATCTTGGGGTTGTTTTATGACGTTCGGTTGGCCACGACCAATGTTTGTTCCCCTTTATGGTTTTCCATATAAAAAAATAAACCAGAATGACCATCCTCAGGATCTCTCCCATTGACAGATCGACATATATCATGGCCAATCTTCGCCATGCAACTTGACTCAGTTTCAGCTGGTTAGTCTACTGAGTGTACTGACTACAATTACCCACGATTTTCCCAAACGTTCAGTTCCCCATTCCCAGCATTTCCGTCATTTCTGTACCGCGGAAGCCGAGTGACAAGGCGAGGCCAGCAATGTGAACAAGGCCAAAGAGCAAAGGATATGCACCAATGGATGGCCTCTGACCCGCTCGGAATCACAACGAGGTCCGCGGGGAAAATGTGAACACGAGGAAACTTATATGTCTATATGGTTGAAACTTGGGAATTGAATGGTTTAATATGTACTTTAAAGACTATTTAAAGATATTTAAAGGCTATTGAACATGACTACAATGAACTTTGTGACCTTTGGGTCATACGCTTTGACCCGTATGTTCTTTTGACATCTTTTAACCATGTGTGATGGTTTCCTGTGTTATTTTCTTCAAACAAATTCCAGTACACGTACTGAGTTCAGCTCATTTATAAGTGGAACAGGGTAATTTTAATCCACTTCTGATCGCAGTAAAAACCTACAAGATCTTACGAGCGAAGGGTTTAAGTCACATCAGTTGGGCAGAAGTCACATCAACCCCATGTAACAGCGAGTTGGAAGAAAGTCACATCAACTGGGCAAAAGTCACATCAAAATATCAAAATCCCAATGGCACACCGGCTTTCAAGGAATGTTGTTATATCTCCAAAAATGAAGAAAACATTGCGCGCACTGAGGTATTCACATATGTTTAAACTATGTTTTCAAAGGATATTTTTAGGAATCACCATGGCACACGGCCTGCAAGATCTTTAACTTTGTTTCCTAACAAACATAGATTTCCATGTAATAGCTATGGGCAACATCATCATATCAACAACGTTAAAATCTGAAAACCCAGTGGCACACCGCTGTCAACATCCGCTTCCGCTTGAATGTTTCATAAGTTCTGCCTTCTGTAAACATTCCCTCTCTCTGCTTGCGTCTCCCGCCCGTATCTCCCGCCAGCGCCAAACAAGGCGACCGAGACTGTAATTTTCTTTTTCGGCGAAATGTTTGCACCAGCGGCAGCAGCAGCAGGAGGAAGCAGCAGCAGTAGCAGGAGGAGGGAGGAGGAAGCAGCAGCAGGAGGAGGAAGCAGCAGCAGCAGCAGGAGGCAGCAGCAGCAGCAGCAGGAGGCAGCAGCAGCAGCAGCAGGAGGAAGCAGCAGCAGCAGCAGCAGCAGGCGGGCAGCAGCAGCAGCAGCAGCAGGAGGCAGCAGCAGGAGGCAGCAGCAGGAGGCAGCAGCAGGAGGCAGCAGCAGGAGGCAGCAGCAGCAGCAGAAGGAAGCCGCAGCCGCAGCAGCAGCAAGGAGCAGCAACAGCAGCAACAGCAGCAGGCAGGCAGCAGCAACAGCAGCAGCAACAGCAGCAGCAACAGCAGCAGCAGCAGGAGGCAGCAGCAAGGAGCAGCAAGCAAGCAGCAAGCAGCAGAAAGCAAGCAGAAAGCAAGCAGAAAGCAGCAACCAGCGTTTGCCCCGTTGAAAGAATAATGAAATATAATATAAGTTTTATAAATCAACGCAATACAAAAATTGAACTTTTTCTAGGCGCACGGCCCCAAAACAATGAAATCGTCCAATTACTAAAAGTTGTGGTGATGCCAAACTTGAACTTTTTCCAGGCGCACGGCCTCCCGATACAACTTCTACGAGCTGATACGACTTAACGCTAGGGCTAGTAGGGTCAAATAGAATCATGTCAACAAAACATTGCGCACAGCGATGAAAAAGTGTTCGAATCAATAACCCATCAAAGAAAGAACTATCAAAATCTATACGAAACACTGCGCGCACGCAGGTGTGATACGACTTCAGGTCGATTGATACGACTTAAGCCTAGTGGTAGTACAAGGTGTCTTTCCCCGCAGTTATGCCTGTCTTAAACCAAAAGCTGAACCATAACCCATGACGGATCCGGCTGGTGCTGGTATATATGCTAACATAAAGGGGGTATATTCATGGGATCCATGGCACACCATATATAGCATATATAGCAGCACCATGGATCCGTCATGGGTAAGTCATGGGGCCCTTCCAGAACGCCTTGCGCGCAAGAAGGCCGCGCTGCAGCGCAGCACGGCGATGCCCAGGCGAAGGTAGCCCCAGGCGAAGCTGACGAAGATCAATGCCAGGACGCCTCGAGACGTGCCGTTGATCCGACGTGCGTGCCCCTCGTTGTCAAGGCAGCAATGAACAGGGCATATCTGGGAGACTCTTGGGATTTTTCATGATTTTTCTTGTTGATTGGCGATAGATGGCGATAGTTGAGATTTGTATGATTTGTTTTTTGTTTATTCTTGTTTAATTCTTGAGAAAAATAAGGAATTCAATCGGACTAAACCAACAAAATTCGTGATTTTGCCATGTAGTGGAATGGCATGCTGGGATGATGATCGTTGAGTTTTTAGAGTTCAACAGTTGGGAATAGTTACTACAACTGGAATCGTTGGAGACTGACTGACTTGTTCTGACTTTGAAGAAATATGGGGATGGATGGACACAATGCGCAGTTGAAGTGTGTATGATATGTGTTTATTTCAATCCATGGGGGTGGAGCAGGATGAGGATGAGGATAGGATAAGGATGAAGGTTGAGATGAGGACGAGAATAAGGATGATGATGATGATGATGATGACTATGGTTGAGAATGCCTCAACTTTTTCTTTTTTTTTTTAAAAAAAAGTGTGAATCTAAGCGTAGGCCACACACACGGATTGGGGGTTCAAAAATGGCACTGCAACAAAAAGGCTCATGGGATCTCATGGACGTAATCACCTTGTTGCTGGCAGAAAAGACTACGATGTGGCGTTATGAGTTGGTTTACAAACAAATTCACTATATAGATCTAGCTATCCATCATACCCTCTAGTTTTGGGAGATCTACATCAACTTATTTACTGTAGCTATTGTTTGTGGGTCTCAGAATCTCACCTAAGAATTTCTTCGCTAGGACCGATCCATGGGGCCTCAACAAAATTCAGCTGCTGCCCAAGGTTCCCACAAGCACCAGTGGCCATCCAAAATGAGCCTGGCACGAGGCAAAGCGACTGATTGTGGACTAAATGGATTAACACATGTATTGATGTGTTGTCAACGCTGCCAATATCAGTGCTGGAAATCGACAGACATAATGGCACTGAGATGTTGTGAGCTTCCCTTGAAAATGCCCAAAGCTTGAGTGATTAAATGCCATTAATTTGAAAACCCAATTGTGCTCCATCCCTGGACAAATTCTGAGATCTTCACCATGTTTCATGGCAAAATCCCTTGTTTCAAAGGTCGAATCCCAACATGTCAAATTCCATGAAAATGACCATATTTTTCCGGCAAAATCACCATTTTTCCCGCTAAACTCGCCATTTTTTCGCCGTTGGGTACGGTACCTCCACCCCCAGCAGTTGGGCCACGGGTGAACCGGAGATGGCCAGGCCGCCAATGGCCAGGAGGGACAAGGGGCCGCCAATGGCCACCACGTTCACCACCAGGTGGACGGGGAAATAGGCCTTGGAAATTTTAAGCACCTTGAAGAGATGTATAATGTATACTTTATATATATATATATTATATACATATATTATGTACCTAGAAAAGTGTGTTTTGGTCTGTAACATGCGTGCATATATGTATTTAAATATAAATATATATATATGTAATATGAACACATACGGTATTTATGTATAGATATAGTATAGTTGCCCATCTCTTCTGACCTCTTGAAGGCGAGTGAATCATCAGGAAATATCGCTGCGCGAACATAGTTTGTATATGTTTGTGCAATGTTCACCTTTTACCCCATCACTGTTCGTGTGACCGGAAACAAAGATTGTGCATAGTTCCACCAGGATAGTCCGTCCCTGATGGGATTAGCCCATCTGTGCTGAGAAGACGAAGCAATGAAGCAATGGTCATATGACTCGCATCGTCTTCGTCGGGAATTTACTACGATCTGCTAAACAAGGTGTTTAACCAACAAACACATGTTTTCAATGGCAATCTTTAATGGCAATCTTTAATGGGTAAATATCCACTTTCATGGGCCATCTATACGATAGCAATCTGTGAACAATTGTGCGAGGGTGTATATATATATATTATGTTCCCAATATGTTAAAGTACCCGGTTGGTTGTATATTGGTAATATATGCCATTGTATTTTCATGTATTTTCTATAATATCATAATATTGGGATATGTTTTTTTTCGATTTTCCCAATAGATATTATGGGGATATCGTAATATATCCCATAATATCATTAATATCCCATTGTTTCCCCATTTCTAGATCTATAGTGGTGACTTTGCAGGACAGGACTCCGCGTCTTCCGAAGCTTAGGCAGTAGGAGTCCACCATCTTACAATGTGGGGCACCCAGTCAGATAGGGAAAAGGTGGGATTATAACCACAAATACCACAATAACTGTCAACAACTGTGATTTTTTTTGGGATATATCTTTGAGGTATCCAGGTATCCTCTTGATTATAACACAGATATACTGTCATGGCTTCGCTGGAATACTGCCCCAGGTGGAGGTCATCAGCATCTTTGTGGATATAGATCCTCCATGTTTGTGGACCACTGTCTCATCACCATTGGTACCATGACCTTTAAGGTGGTGCCCCTCAGAGTTAGCTAGGCCATAGGGCCATAGTCACTTGCTTCATTAGCAGAAACCCAACAGTTCACCTACTTATTTCAACCACTCAGTTATAAGTTGGCTTATAAACACAATTGTAAACCAACTATATAAGTGGTTAATTAAGTTAATTATATCATTTATGGCAGTTATAAGTTGGTTATTAACATCAATTAACTATGTATAATATATATATATATATATCGCATATGCTCCATGTATGGAATATTTACCAACATTTACCTTATAAATGACCCAGTTTTGTAGGTAAATATACCAGCACCATGGAGCAGATGGGTTTAATATGGTTTGCCATAAATCAAAGCCTCCGTCAACAAGCCTGTTCTCCGTCAGCAATTTAGATCCTGAACCGCACCCGGATCCCAGGGGCCAATAGCAGCAGGAAGGCTCCACTGGAGACAGCAGAGGTGCCCAAAGCAACAGCGATGCCCTGGCATTTCTGACACTTCGATGGATTTCCGCAGGGTTTTTGTGTCAAAACCCCCTAAAAACCCTGCTGGTGCCCAAAGTTAAATAGCTGGTTATATTGTGTTATATTGATTAATGGATGTGTATTCCCCCCATATAAATATATGGCAATACTAGATCTTGACCCATCCCCATATATTTCCAGGTTTCCCACTTTTTGTACTCTATGAGTTGGGGTTGCTCTCATGTACGAATGGTAAATCTTAATGTTAATAGCGAATCTTAGAAAACCTCCAAGAGAATAAGTTTTTTATTACATACAAGGCGGTCCCCCTTAGTTGTGTCTGTTGGTTTAGACTCCTCATAAACTGTAGTTACAATTGGCATAAACCCAACAGCAATTGGAGGCATGTCAACCAACCCAGGGATCTCTGCTTCCGGATCGAATCTAGCCCCTTCCAAAGGGTTCTCCGGATCAGGGACCGAGTGGAGAGCATAGTTGATGTTGTGGGCCCGCTCCATGGTAGGAAGCTCCATGGTAGGAAGCTCCATGGTAGGAAGCTCCATGGTAGGAAGCTCCATGAGGGCTGCTGAGCAGAGTTGCTCACATACAAAATCTTCCGGTGGACAGCTGCTATGCCTGCCAGACTCTGGGGTTCCAACCGTCAAAATGACCAATGCCTCATTTGCAGCAAGCTCAAACGGAGAGCATGACAAGCAGGACTGGTATGCGGAGCAAACAACACTGCTGTCAAGCTGACCTTTGCGATACTTCTGGGGGTGGCTCCTGTCAGTCAGCTGGACAGAAAGTAAGACTATTCATGGTTTCTCTTAACCTGTGACAAACCGACTACCAAGGGGTGACCCCTAGAAATATAGGTTTATCTTGTTTTTTTTGTTCTGGCTGCGTGTGAGATTGTATATCCCCATTGTAGAAAATGACCCTTTCCCCTATCCAACCAAGGTATCATCCCCAATTAACAGGCTCTTTTGCTGGATTTGTTTGAGTGTATGTCATGTTTACTCATTATGTCCTATCCATGCATGTTATTGCTTAGAGAGAACACACAATATAATAGCGGTCATATATATATATATATTATATATATAGATAGATATACAGACCAGTTATTTACCACTGGGATTACGAAGAATTATGATGTTTTCCATAGTATTGCACAACATCTGAAATTGCAAAAGAACTTCTGGCCAGGGAATCGAAACCATTGATAGATTTTATTTAATCTGCAGTAATTCGGTTTAAGATGACAAACATATCCAGTCCTGTGAGTCATTTGAGCCACCAAAAAATGTGTGCCATGCCCATTTTGCAAATCAGCAAAAAACTACATGATATATATATATATACATATATAAGATATATACATATTATAGTATATATATATTATACATTCGTATATATATATATAATCATATCATATATATATACATCGATCATATAGCACATAAGGTTATATAATGTACACATTACGTAAGTAATACACATTTAACCATACAACACATCATAAATGAATGAATAAAACAAATAAATAACATGTACATCGTACATACATACTTGTAGGATTGTATACAGTAATATAATTCCAACATACCTTAACTGTTAAGCCTTAACTATACATCATACTAAAACAATCACATCACCGAGCCGGAAAAAAAAAAAAAAAACACCACCTGCGACTCCAAGCGGAGATTCTCCGGCCGCAGCTCCACCCAATTCGTCACCGCATCCTGGTGTCGTTTGGTGTCTACGGCGTCTTTGGAGCCATTGGGATGGTATCACATTTAATATAGTTGATAAATGTATTGGTTGATGATTAGTTGGGATAGTTGATATAATTTGATATAGGTGATGGATGGTGATGGTATCATTTTCTACTTGGTGGTATACCTAAGTCATGGTCTAATGAGTCTAATGACATGACTTGGGGTACCCCAATGGACTGGAAACCACCCAAAAGAAGCCAGGAATATCTGGTTGGTGGTATACCTACCCCTCTGAAAAATATGCGAACGTCAGTTGGGATGATGACATTCCCAACTGAATTGAAAAAAATGTTCCAAACCACCAACCAATTTTCATTATACCGTAGTTATATCCTTGATTATCAAAGTTAATTAAGGTATGTAATGAATATGATTCAGTCAAGCAAGCTCTCTATCTCTCGGCATTTTACAAACACGTTGAGCTTCATGCATCTTTTGAAGAACGCGCTCTGGTGAGACTTGCTACATTATGAGGGACAAACATCCTCTACCAATAATGATCTTGCCTCATATGTGGATCAATTTGATAGGCAAGTTGAACAATTTCTAAAGCCAAAGCATTGAAAGTCTCCTTGCTGGGCAAGTATGAACTGCAGCATAGGTCTTCATTACATGCCAAACCTCTTCCATTGGCGGAACGTCAGAATCGCCTTGAACAAAGTTCTTGAACTCCAAGAACTTGCTCCTAGGCGATTCTGACGTTCCGCCAATGGAAGAGGTTTGGCATGTAATGAAGACCTAAGTATGTTTAGAACAGTTGGCGTGCATGTGCCACCAGGCTGCCAGTGACCATTGCAGGAATCAGACAGGAATGTCGCCCTCAATTTTGCAGCCGCCCCAGATGCGGTCTCGCTTTTTGTTTTGGGTGGCATTTCAGAAGCAATTCCACGCTTCGGTGAAGTCACATTCCATGAGTCATCAAGGTAGCCAAGTTTCCAGATCACCAGAATCCTTCAACATGAATGGACCACCGCCAAGGCTAATAGTGCGTGTGAGTTTGCTTCCATAGGTCTTGAGCTGGAACTTCGTGACGTTACAAGGTCTCACGGGCAAAATAGATGCGAAGTTTTGATTGCTTGAAATCCATGAAATTGCGAGTGGCACCGGGAAAACAGGCAAGGAACCCGACCATTTGCAAACCAAAACTTGGCTTTTTTTTGAACTGGATGCCCACCTGACGATGATAATACTACGCTGCAAGCTTGTTGTTCTAGCAGGTTTTCAAATGATTTGTTCACCTCAGCCTGAGCTCTTTGGGTTACTGCATCAATGGCTTCCGAAAACTCGCTCCACTGTTCCATCCCCAGCATGAAGGACTCCGATCTTGGTGAAACATGCCGAGGGCAGAGTCACAACTGCTATGGTCCGCTTGTAGAAATCCACAACGGTCTTACTCCGGCTTGGAATAACAAGGAAGAATGTGCGTTTGTCACAAAATGATGCCTTTGATGACGGCAAAACCTTTGTCAGTGGTTAGCCATGCGATGCACCCGCCACTGAGAAACATAGGCTCTGTTGCTTGGTTCTGCGTTCTTCGCACGAGGATTTGGCACCTTCTTTAATTCCAAGAATGCCCAATAAAAGATCCCTAAAGCATCAACCGTTGGCTTAAATTTGTGCCTCCGCGCGACCCCAAATCTGACAAAAACATAAACTGCAAGCGCTGCCAATTTGTCCCCCACATAATATCTCCAGAATTTCCTTGTTTATAAGCCTTTGTTTGAGATATTTTATAATATGTTACGGGATATTTTGATACATTTTGAGCCTTCGTGGCTTCAATGAAGAATGATATGGGGAACTAACAAAGGACCAACCATGTCCAGTACACTCATCCCAGCGCTTGAGAGTCGTAGGCTCCTTGGCCCGGGACAACCAACCGTCGTGCACTGTCACCTGAGCGGCGTTCGTGCATCTTGAACACACTAGGCCGGTGGTTTGTTGATGTCACTTGCTGTCTCAACCCATTACTTCAGGGAATTCACAATAGGTCAGTTGGGGATGATCTTCCCAAAAAAAATGCGGTGAAGATGGTGGAACCTGGGTAAGCCAAGAAGTAGCAAGCCCTTGGTAAGCTTGGGGTGCCACACTTGAGAAACTATCAAACTATACATCAAACTACCATGGGTACTTAGTGGTTCACCCCCACTTAGTAAGTAGGTTATACCCCTGGTTATAACTGGGCTAAGTAGGGTTAGTTCCCTTATAACTGGGGCTATAATCCACTTACTAACTTGGATGAGCCACCAAGTACCCAGGCTCTTATCTTTACGGCAGAAAGTATGCTATTCCTCAGTCTATGCAGTACCCAAAGTTGGATTGTCCAGTATTTCCTCTGTGGAAGCGTGGTTGAGTTTTCAGGGGGGCCCAAAGCGCTTGGACAAAATACCACATTTACTTACGTATATTCAATATCATTGCCCTCCTTTAACCAAACATGGCAATGGAAAATCCCATATCAGTGGAGATTTTAAATGGGAAATCATCTATAAGTATCTTTCAATGGTGATTTTTCCATTGCCATGTTTGATTACCAGAGGGTAAAATCATGTGGCGCTAGTTTTTGAGGGACCAAATACTTGGCCGCATGGTTTCCCATGTATATATGGGTCTATCTGAAAATGTGGTATACCCTCCAAAATAGCCATTGAATGGGAACTTTGACGGTTCACCAATAGATTTAGAGGTACCCAATTTTCAGACAAGCCTTCCAAATTTTCATGGCTTCTCTGCCTGAAACATGGCCAAAAGGCAAACATCTGGTGCTGAGGCGTTGTCCCCTAGGAACCCAACCGCAAAAAATTGAGGCCAAGTTGGAAAACGATTGCGATTTTTGTCAGAAAATACCGTGGAAGTAGTGCTATTTTATGATATGGGCCACGGTCAATATTTAGTATATATCTCCAAGTCATCAATTTTTGAAGAGTGTATTATCGTTTTTCAGGTTTTGGGAATATAGCAAATGTTATCGATTTTGGAAGAGTGTATTATCGTTTTCCAAGCCCCAGCTCAATTTCAAAAAAAAAATGTCTCGAATACTACGTTCCATTACGGTAAATTTTGGCTGTAGCTCATCTGTATCCAATATTATGATTCAATTTTTCATATAGTTTACCCATGCGAGTGATATTTACCAAGCAAAGTCGCATTAGGCGCTTCCATTAGGCTTCAGATTCCATCACTTCGACCGGTTCTTTGCACCACGTCACGTTTTGAAGCACTTCGTCGAAGCTGCCACCCTGCGGACGCAACACTCCCACCTTGAGGGGGGTCCCAAAAATGTCACATGTTTTTTAAATGGTCAGTTTCTGGAGTTTTTGGGATTCATGATGATCCAAGAAACAAAAAAATAGACTCAACAAACTTTGGATATTATACCTAGGAGAAAATCATGGATCCTCATTTGTTTATTCGGAGCTATTTCTTTCATCCACTTCAAAAACAATCTGCTGGCCTTTTTTGGTGTGGCTCACACAGACACAACACCATCTTCCAGAACCCTTTATCGTCCCCTACAGGTCCACAGAGTTTTGGGGTGATCCAAACCACCTCTTTGGCGATATTTGAATCAATGCAACATGAAAAAAAACATATATGCCATCTGTGTATCGGTGTATCGTGATATTCATGTCTTCTGCCTACTATTTTGATATACAGGCTGTCTCAAAAACAGGTACCCGAAAATCCAGTCGCTTATCACCCTTGTCCCCCAAAAAAAGCATGTTTTGATATATTGGGACAGACACCCCGTTTTCTGTCTTGACTTAGAATGGGGTACTCAAAATGTAATTGTTGGTCATCACGTTCTTTCATGGCTGATCATCATGTTCCATATCAAAATTGCCATTTGGAGGCTTGGGGGTATACCCTCCAGTAATCCAACTTGCAATTGAAAATCATGTATATATAATCTAAAAATGATGTTCCAATTCAAGACCCTCATTTGTAGAGGGTACCCCATTTTCAGACGCACCCAGGTTGTCCGACCTCAAAGTCAATTTTCACCCCATGGTACAACGCCATCAACGCGAAGAAGACTTGCGCCGCCACTGCACATAGAAACAGCCTAATTCAATCCGCGGCCAAGACAGCGCAAGAAACCTGTCATTTCAGTACCATCCAACGCTAGATGGAAACCCAATTTACGATATCCAAGAATTAGCTAAGTTGGTGCACATAACTATATATAGCATAACTGTACAACTGTAGACGATTTACAGAAACAAATCACTGCGGTTCATTTTATGAGAGTTCAACAAGTCAACTTATAGCTGAGGGGTCCACCTCATAGGAATTCCTGTCCAATTCTTGCTGTGGCTTAATACAAGTCAATACTCATTGACGAAACTCAGAAGAGTGGCATATTGACTGAGTGTGGCTTTATTCAACATATTCAACTGTTTGCTTCATGTGCTTTTCGGATATGGTTTTTATACTCTCCAAACATGTTGTACAGGGTATGCTGGCTTTGCCAAGGATTTTGGGTGCCTGCTGTGCCTGTGGGGCATCCCCCAGATAAGAAAAATGTGACTTTAGGCTCGTGAAAAGTCGGGTGATAACTCCAATGACGAAGCTGTTTTTTTTTCGATTGTTTTGTTTGTTTTGGTATGTGATATACTTTTTGATGGCGCCGAAACCTTACGTTTTGATGATAAAACACACCTACAAGGTAAGGCCACATAACATTATATGTTTGTTGGTTTATGTTCACCGCATAAACCACAGGTTTCCTTAGTGCCATAAACTCAACCCAACCGTTGGAGTATGTTCACCAACTGAGGAAATAGATCAACTTGATAAACTGTCCATGTTGGTTGGGTAAGTCTCACTTATTAGAGTAAAATAATAAAATAAACCTACTTAGCAACTATAGATCAACTTAAAATTCCCATGTTTTCTTCGGTGAAAATGTCTTATCTTTTCCCATTGCTGGGCTCTCCAGGTGCACCCCCTTGTCCCAAGCAGCAGTAGCCAGAAGAGATCAGTGGTTCGTCGAGGCGGCATGGTGTCCGGGCGAAGTGCCGCGGGAATCATGGGATGAAAACGCCGGGTCTTCACTTAAGTGGGATAGAAAAAACATGGGAAACTTGAGGAAAATGGCGATTGTTGGTGCAGATTGATACTTGATTCACTTGATTCACTTGATTCCAAAGTTTAAATCAATGTGGATATGAAAATACTTCACATTAAATCCTAAGCCCTCATGGGATTTATGTTGACCATATGGAAGCAACATAAATATTGAGGATTTGCGGCTTTTCGTGTGATGTATATTGAAGAACGTCGCAGTCGGGGAGGTTGCTATGGCTACATGGCATGTCACTTTTTAGGACCTACGGACCTACGGCCACCTATACAGGGTGTCTAATTAGCGACTTCAAATGCATTCGCACTTCCGACATGAACAGACATGAACTATGTCTATTTTTGGAAGTCTCTTGTTACTTAACGAAAATACAATCTATGGTGAGCTCTTCGAAGTCATCATCATTGCAGAAAGCTGCGATCCGAGCGATCGGTCGATCCCCGGAACTGGTGATGGGTTGGGTAACTTCTGGCCATGTACCCTCTGGTTATGTCAACAGTTTGCGAACTTGAAAATGGCCATTGATAGTGAGTTTTCCCATTAAACATGGTGATTTTACATAGTTATGTTAGTTTACCAGAGGGATCCAGAGGGTATCTTCATGTTTGTTTGTTCTGAATATGTCAAACAATCGCTTCAACTATGATGGGGATGCGATGAAAAGCCTCTGGTACACTAACATAGCTATGGAACATCACCATTCTTGAAACAAGGGAAATCAACTATAAATCAACTGTAAATGGGCTAATTCATCCATGTTCCACTTCGCAAAGTGCTAGTCATTAGCCGATGATATACCCTCTGGTAAACCAACATAGCTATTGAACAGTGCCATTGAGTTCGTTGACTTACCTCAAAAAAGGTGATTTTCCATAGTTCTGGTTGATTGATGGTTTCAACCACTCTGAAAAATAATAGTCAGTTGGGATTATTATTCCCAATATATGTAAAAATAAAATTCATGTTCCAAACCACCAACCAGTTTTGTATGTTTACCAGAGGGTAACCACCCCATGAAACTCATGAGTTTACTCCCAAAGCTTGGGGTGAAAGGTCCCCATATGGCTGCCGTCTCAGGATGGGATCCGTGCAATGTTCAGCGAAGTCTGGCACCTCTGGCAGGCACAAGACTCATTTCATGTGGGCGTGTATGATATTAATGCAATATATGTAATAGCAGCAAATTATTAAATTAATATATAGCACTATATGGTTCATATAGGCATTTCATGTTACATATTGATTATGCTAAATAAAACACACACACACACTTACTGGTGCTAAACGTAGGGAATGGATGGGAATGGGGGTTGCTGGGATGATTATTACTAGTGATTATGGATCATTCCCGAAAATTCCCTGCTAAGCACCAGCAAGTAATGTAATAGTAGCAAATTAATACTGGTTGGTGGTGCAATAACCATCTTGAAAAATATTAGTTCGTCAATAGGAAGGATGACATCCCATATATGAAATGGAAAATAATAACATGTTCCAAACCACCAACCAGAATATATTTCAATATATGGTTCATATAGGCATCTAATGTTATATAATGTTATATATATTACATATATACTGTTGTATTGTACTATAACATGTATTCAATATATGTAATTTCATGGTTTTCTGAGTCAAATGGTCGCACAGTCAAATTCAACATACTATTCCCAGCAGGATCTGATAAGCACCACCCCCAATGATGAGCACCACCCCTGTTAATGGATGGTTCAATAGGAAAATCCGCGAACTATGGCTGAGGAATTTCTACCCTCTGGTAAACATACAAAAAGCTATTGAAAATGGTGATTTAGTTCGTGGATTGTCCCATTAAAAATGGTGGATCTTTCCATAGTTTTTTGTATGTTTACCAGAGGGTATCTTCATGTTGGATGACCTTGGAGGGTACAAGGGTAGACAGCATCCGACTATTCCTGAAGTATTCCCAGTTCTTCGTCCGACATGTTCATTGCCTCCATATGTTTCACAGAGGATAAACAAACATCTCCCAGGTTTAGCTTACCGTTATTTTTGACATTCCACAAAGTATGATCCCCATGCTATCCCCTGTTCGATGGTGCTAGATCTTGATTGTCATCATCGATTGCCGCGCCCGACAAAGACCAACAGTGTACCCTTTGGAAATCATACATGACGATAGAACGTCCAGCGTAGATATCTGGTGATGATCCTAATTATTCGGTAATTTCCCTTTGTCATGTAAGAGAACTATATAAATAAATCATACTAAAATGCATCTTCCTTTCTTAGTGAAATTACAAGGTTTGCTAGGATAGTTGAGTCCCGGTTTGCGGGGTAAGATCCCATTATCTGTTGGTTACATCATGTGAAATCCCAATTTACATTGCTTATACACTTTTTTTCCACTTGCTGAAACTCACTTTCATATAGGCTAAATTTTCATATGTGTTTGTTCATGATGACTGTATTCTCTGGTGTGAAATCCATGTTCTGAGAAAAAACACAGCAGACTGTTCCAGAAACAATTTCTCAGGTGAAGTTCCGCATTTCTGTGTGTGTGACTGAAAATAAGGTATGCCCCCAAACTGATAAGCATACAATGGATTTAGAGTGTGTCTATAAATTATCTATAGTGTGTCTATTTTATACAAGTGTGTCTATTATTATAAGTGTGTCTATAAATGTCCCCTATAGATACACTTGACTCACCAGTGGATTTAGAGAGTTTCAGTTTTCTCTAACTAAAAACAAATCAGGTACCAACAGTTTTTTTTGTTTTCCGTTCTGCTGGTTAAGAACGGATTTCCCACAACGGATTGTGACATTTTTTGAGAATCCCCAATAGATTGGGTAGTATCATCCCGAAGCAAATCTTCCATCACCCATTCTTTATCAGTTGTATCCACTTGTATATCCCCAAATAGTTTGATGGTGAAAAACCCTATCAAATGATTAGAATCATCAATTCCTCCCGAGACTCAATCGGTTAAATCATGTCAAACCCTCAAAAAATCATCACTTTTGGTTGGTGAAATCCCATGAAAAACCACCATTACACCCAAAGTCGCCAAGATTTCTGCCCTTCTCCCAGGGGTCTTCCCAGGGGTCTTCCCAGAAAGTCCCGAGGTCCGACCTCCTCTCCCAACTCTTCCAGAAGTTCTTTGGCCGAGGGCCGCATCATGGGCTCCGGCGCGGTCATTCGGACCTGGGATGATGGATGGGGGAAGATTCAGCAACAAAAACTGGGGACCATGAAGATTTGAACAAGAAAAAAATATGGAAACTTGAACAAGATATTTATTTGGTTGTTTCATGTTCCCAAACTGGCTGATTTATAGTTCCAAACATGTATTTCCCCTGGGTTTATGGTAATGAAATAAATATAGTTCAATGGGGGAACCACCTTGTACAATGATGATGATGATGATGATGATGATGATGATGATCCATGGGGATTATTGTTAGATTATCGTTATTGATGATTATTGTATAGATATGGTCATTAATGTCTCTTAATAATAATAATTAAGAGAAAATCTTTATTATTATTAAAATTAAATATATATATATATATATGAATATATAAGTATATCCATATCTATAGCCATAGTATGCGGTCAAAACCTCTCCAAATCTTGCATATTCCAATCATTTGGGGATCCCAACATTCGGGGATCAGTGAAAATTCAACTACTAACATCTACTAACCAAAACTGATTCCAAATAAGACATGGAACACAAAAAACATCCATTTCACCAGCTATAACTTAGGGTCCCGCACCCCAGCTCAACCCCAACTGGGCTCGGGCACCGCCATGTCTGCCAACTGGGAGTTGCTGGGTAAGGTGCGTTTTTCCTTCAAGGCTTCCAGGACCTGGCCAGTCCAAAAAAACCGCAGGTGAAGATAGGACAAAATCGTTGATTTACAGGAAACATGGGTTGATTTATGTTTTTTTTGCCCAAGAATGGTTGACTTATAGGAAAAATTGGCGATTTTTGTCGGAATAGTAATCAATAATGGTTGATTTTATAGGAAAAATGATTGATTTATAGGAAAAGTGCCCAAGAATGGTTGATTTATAGGAACAAAATGGGTTGATTTATAGGAATCATGTTCTCCCATTACCGGTTGATTTTATGTATAGGGAAAATGCCCCAAATTGAGCTATGTGAAAAGCATCTGCTACCGATGCAGGATGATGACTGGATGGGTTGGGAAAGTCTGCAGCCCGAAAAGCGGTTGCTTGTTAAACCAATTAATTGGGGGTTCAGCCGCTATTTGGTTTACCTTAAACCAGAATCCAATGAAGGATGATGAAGGATCATGCTGATGACGACGACGATGAAAATGACGACGACGACGACGATGATGATGATGATGACGACGACGACGATGATGATGATGATGACGACGACGACGATGATGATCATCCAAAAAAACACATGGTTTCTTTCATCAAAAACGCATAGTAAGCCGAAAACAAACGGTACTACAACGGATTATCATTGAGATGGTCAATCTTTGGTAGTAGTTGCTGGCAAGTGATTATTTTCTGCCAGGAAAAACATCAGGGATTATGACTGGTAATGATCCCATCGGTTGGGGATGAGACATGGCCAATGTAATGGCGATTCGGACTTGTTTTTTGCATGTTTTTTGCATGTATTAGCATTCTAAGGGGATCATACTAATGGTAACAAAAATAATGTAGTATTACCATTCATATAATAGGATTACACATATTACCATCAGATGTATTACCATATTAATTAACATTCCTAATGGATTACCACAGGAATCTCATTAAAAAACAGCACATGGCTTCAGCTCCATGCTTGAAAAATTGCCGCACCTTGGTCCGCTCCATTTGCGTCTGCACCTAGGTTAACTAGGGTAACTAGGTGGATAGATTTATTATGATTTATTGGTAAAATGGGGTTATAAATCAACTTACACCTGAGTGGCCCACATTGCAGAAATATCATG